AAGAAATTTATCATGCTAAAAACTTGTTTAATAGATTTTTTTTTCAATCCTAATCCCAATCCTTAGCTCTTATTTTTCAATGTTTCATATCAAAAGGTACCAAACAATTCTTCCTTTGAATCCCCTTTCAATGGAGACAGAATAAAATGGGTGAAAATTAGAAGTTAATAATTTTCATCAAGTCATAACAAAAACAGTAACAAACAAACTAAAGTGGCGATGGTCTACCCAAGAATTATGAATTCCACACAAGCATGTATTTAATTATAAAAACGAATTTTCTTAGTCAACATTTAGAATTCTCTTGCTTTGTGAATCTGCTCTATATAAGGGAACTCAATCTTCGCCATTAACGAAAAGCACCATACAAGTATAGAGAGTTCTTTCAAATCAAGTTTGAAGAGCTCAAGGAAATCCCTATATGGTTTTATATATGGATTCCATTATTGAAGCCAACCCAATAACAAGTGAGTTCTTTGAAGCTCAAGCTCACCTATACAAACATATTTTCAGCCACATTAATGGAATGGTTCTGAAATGTGCCATTCAATTAAACATCCCAGACATAATCCACAACCATGGCCAACCCATTACTATTCGTCAATTGATCTCCAAACTTGAAATTCACCCAACCAAAACTGCCTGTGTAGAGAGGCTTGTTCGTTTCTTGGTTCACAATGGCTTCTTATCAGAAACCAAAGTGAACGATGAGGAAGATGAGGAGGGAGAAAATGAGGCATTCGTTCTCACTCCTTCTTCTACATTGCTTGTTAAGGGCTTGGAACCCAACCTAACACCAATGGTTTTGGCAACTTTTCACACTGATATGATTGCTTCCTTGGATTTGCTAGGGAAGTGGTTCAAAGGGAAGGAGAAGACAGTTTCTGAGAGTGCCTTTGGTTTAGGGATATGGGATCTGCTTGAAAGTGATCCTCAAAGACTTAAGTCTTTTAATGAAGGGATGGCTAGTGATTCCCAAATGGTTGACGTGGCACTCAAAGACTGCAAGTCAATTTTCCAAGGACTTGAAACCCTAGTTGATGTAGGAGGTGGCACAGGCACAACATGTAGGATCATCTCTGAGAGACATCCTAATATGAAATGCATAGTGTTTGATCTTCCACAAGTTGTTCAAAACTCTTCAGGAAGCAATAATCTGAGTTATGTTTGGTGGTGGCAGCATGTTTGAATTCATCCCTTCTGCTGATGCTATTTTGTTGAAGGCAAGTTATTTCTTAAATCCCATTTTGCTCAATATGTTTTCATATACTATATGGTTCTAAATATACAAGTTATCTAACTAATTTATAAAGATTAAAAAAACTAATTGAATTAGTTATTTGACTTTGGTTTAGGGATATGGGATCTGCTGAAAAGTGATCCTCAAAGACTTAAGTCTTTTAATGAAGGGATGGCTAGTGATTCCCAGATGGTTGACGTGGCACTCAGAACTGCAAGTCAATTTTCCAAGGACTTGAAACCCTAGTTGATGTAGGAGGTGGCACAGGCACACATGTAGGATCATCTCTGAGAGACATCCTAATATGAAATGCATAGTGTTTGATCTTCCACAAGTTGTTCAAAACTCTTCAGGAAGCAATAATCTGAGTTATGTTGGGGCAGCATGTTTGAATTCATCCCTTCTGCTGATGCTATTTTGTTGAAGGCAAGTTATTTCTTAAATCCCATTTTGCTCAATAATGTTTTCATATACTATATGGTTCTAAATATACAAGTTATCTAACTAATTTATAAAGATTAAAAAAACTAATTGAATTAGTTATTTGACAAAAAAAAATTGTGTTAGTTTTCATGAAATACACCTATATCATCTGCAACGAAAACTATTCATTTAAACTCTTTCAAATAGAAGTGGTTTTGGTGCAAATCAACGATGAGCACTATATTAAAATTACTCCTCTATAATATGTGTGATCATTGGGAATAGTTAAAAGGAAAAAAGTTATTAATTGAAGAAATAAAATAAATTAAGATCTTACAGGATTAAATCAAAATTTTCAATTAACTCCTATATTAAGAACTAAAGAAAGTATCAAAGTGAGTCTTGACTAATTTAGGTATCGAGTACTCGATGAGATCACTTGGGTGTAAGACTTTCCAATCAATTTCCTAAAATAATATATTGATATATTAGATATTGAAATTAATAGTTGAAAAGGTTTGTAACATTTGTTTGTCATGATTTGATTTTGTGCAGTGGATATTACATAACTGGGATGATGAGAGCTGCATAAAAATACTGAGCAAATGTAAGGAGGCAGTGACAAAGAAAGGTGAAGCAGGAAAAGTGATAGTCATAGATGCAGTGATAAAGGAGAAGGAAGAAAAGAATGAAATGAGAGAAGTGAAACTTTTGTTCGATATTATGATGATGACTTCCTTCAATGGAAAAGAAAGAACTGAGAAAGAATGGAACAACCTTCTTGTTTCTGCAGGCTTCAAGCATCACAAGATTACTCCTCTCTTCGGTTTTAGGTCAATTATTGAAGCTTATCCTTAATTAATTATTACTATATATATCCTCTGGTTTTCACGACTTAATTCAGAAATTAAAGTTTGCGTTTAAAATTTTATATTTCGTTCTACTTTTGTAATAATAAGTAGCCATGCAGTGTGTGCTGTTGGTGAGAGATATTATTCATTTGCAATTGCAAGGAAATAACATTGTTCGTCTATCTTTAATTGGTCGCGTACGTTTTCTTTTGATTTTTTTTTTTTCAATTTATGACTCTAGATCTAACATTTCAAATAAGCACGTTCTGTTATTCAGTTAAGAAAAAAATTAATATGTAGGTGTTTACCTTATTTTTGATTCGGTTCTTATAGTTGTTTCCCTTCTTTATTGAGCTTCTCAATCATAAACATTGGTTCATATTCTCATAATTTATTAATTTGTAAGAAAAAACACATTTAGTCTGTTCCAACGTACAATTGAATTAATTTTGCCACATGGATCTAAATAAAATAAAAACCAACCAAATTACACGTTATACATAGATGCAAGGAAATAACTATGAGCATATAATAGTTTTTACTATGTTGATACTAATAAATTTAATTATAAAAATCTCTTTTTCATTTTATATATATTTTGTGGTAACTTACCTATCATGTATCAACCTTAGCATCAGCCATATTTAATGGATTATAAAGTATAAAAACTAATGCCTATAATTGAACAAACTATATATGTGGGCTCAATACAAAAAATTGAACATAATTAATTATCTGGTGAAACTATAAGTGTTTCCGAAGTATAATTTTTCCTTTAATTAATAGACAACGGGATGTTAAGGATATTTTCATGCCATAAATTAAAATATTTCACGTTATATATTCACAATTATATAGAGTTTATAATAATCTTTTTCGTCTTGTTGCATTACATACTACAAGCCCATCACAAAGTCATTAAAGATCAACTAAGATTGGTTAATTATTTAGGCATTAAAAGGGTTAACATATCATTTGGAAAACGATTATTCAAACCTAATTCTAATTGAATGTTTAATTGGTGGAAAACCAACAGAGTTGATTTAGTGGTATAAGGCGTTGTTAGATCTTTCTAAGTCCCAAGTTCAAATCCCAAAAGAAACACCTCTGTTTAGAGTTGAGAGGAGAGGCCACGAACCTCAAACTGGATTAATTGGTTGCTCAGATATTTGGTAGTAGGACCCAAATAAAAGAGCTAAATACCGGATAATAATATCAAGAAAAATTGATGGAAAAAAATTGGCGGTCAAAACTGATGGCAGCCCTCGCCTGCTTATATACTACTAATGTATTTTTAAATTACAAAAAATGAAGAGTTAATATCATTGTTAATTATTATAATTTGATCTAATTTTGGTTTCTGGCTTCCATAGTTAATTTCATAAGGACTTAGTTCTCATGGGAGTTTTTTTTTTTTTTAACTTAACTATTTTTAACAATGTTCTTGATATAAAATAGTTAATAAATCCACGTAACAACAAGAGGCACAAGAATTGTATACATTTCCCCGTTTCACAACTGATGCGTGACATCATTTATTTGGGTCACACGCTACGTTCCTTCAGATGTAACTACCTTTCTTGGCCTTAACCCCCCCCCCCCCGGGGGGGGGGAGGGAGAAGAAGCCAAGTCAAGTTTTACAACAAAAAATTAACCAAAGAACCTCACACCCTTTTCTCTTCAGCCAGTATTACTAGCTCAGGAATTAGATGTCAACTTTCTTTCTGTTTTTTTGAGTAAGAAAAATTTAATTTTTTACTAAAATTTTTTATTAATTACACATATTAGAAGGAGTTTTTATTTCTAAAATTAATTTTCAATGTAAATAATTAAAAAGAATATTATAAAGAAACCAACACATATTTATTACAAATATCTAATTTTAACTGATTTTTTTAATATTGATAAATTAGTTACTTGGCTCGCGTTCCTACATCTCAAAGTGGAGGGAATACACAAAAATGCAATATATATATAATTAAAAATTATTTTCTGTTTTAAAAAATAATTTTTCTTTTTCTTAATTTTGTAAAAAAATACAACAAATGTATAACAAAAATGTGGACCTTTTCTATTGTTATTTATTATTAATTTGAAATTAGATTATCATTTAGGTGGATTTAGGCTTGTTTGCATTTTTTTATCACATATTTATTTCATATTCTGCAAATTACAATTTGTATTAAACAGCCTGCCGAATGAATTGCATGGACATTAAAGCAAAAGATTTCTTGGTTTTACTATTTTTTTCTTTTTAATGTCATCCTGAAGATGCTTGACTTTGATGCAGTCTTTATTTCATTTTCTTCTTTCTATCTATCCCTCTCTGTTTTTTTTTTTTTTTTTGTTTGGGTAGGACCTCATTTCCTTTACATCTCATCTTTCTCTCCCCTTTTAAAGCATCTGAATGCATTACAAAATCAAATCGTTGTGTCACCAGGCGGGAAAGCAATTATCATAAACCTATAGAACTACAAGTTAGAATAATGGATGTTCTGGCTATCTCTCTCTTCTCTTTACTCTCAATATCAAGTCTGAAACATTCCCTTCTTCTATATTTTCATCAATTTTCTTCAAAGCAAATCTTCTGCACTATGTAACACCAGTTTCTTTTTTCATTCTACAGAAGCAGAAATCTCAACCAAGATCGGCGTAAACTATGGCCGAGTCGGGAACAACCTGCCTTCTCCAGCTCAATCCATTGAGCTACTAACAACAATGAAAGCAGGACGTGTGAAGCTGTATGATGCAAACCCAGAAATTCTGAATCTTCTATCAGAAACCAAGTTTGAAGTTTCCGTTATGGTCCATAACAGTGAAATCTCAAGCATTGCTTCAAACCAAAGCATATCAGATGAATGGGTGAGGCAGAATGTCTTGCCTTACTACCCCAAAACCTTGATTCGCTTTTTGCCTGTAGGTAATGAAGTGCTGAGTGATTATTCAGTACAAGGCCAAAAGATATGGCTTCATCTTGTGCCAGCAGTGAGAAGGATCAAAAGGTCTCTCATTTCTCAGAGCAGTACAAATATCAATGTTAGTACATCACTAGCCATGGATGTTTTAGAGACAACTTTCCCGCTGTCATCTGGGGCATTCCGGTCCGGGATAAGAGACACTGTGGTGGTACCAATGCTTGAGTTCCTTTACAGAACCAATTCATTCTTCTTCATTGATGCATATACTTATTTTCCTACAAGAGACATTATATCAAATTGTATTTAAACATGATATTACTTATCCATATATTGTATTATGTCTGATCCTATGTATATGTGGGCTTCCTTATATTATGCAGAAAACCAAAAGGAAGCAATGGGAAAGGAGGAAGAAGGACTTGCCTGCATGATTCTTTGAACCCATTTATTTCTGTTATGGTTCTCATGCCCCATGCTTGTAGTGTGAGGAGGATGAAGGTACCTCTATGAAGGAGATATAGGTGGTAACCAAGCATGATGAGCAATCCCCAAGGGACCAGAACCAGATCAAGGTGCTCCTTCTGGGAATGGAACTCCATGATTAATTATTATTCGACAGCTAACCAGAGCCATGAAATTTACTCGTGCCAATGCCTTATGGTAACTCGAACTCTGTAAGTCCAAATTCTGTTTCTTTTCCTATTTCTATAGTTTCCTATAGACATATAGAGCGGGTGATTAGTGTGGGTTAAGCTTATATTTATCTCTATGCTCCTCATTTTTTCCTCTATGAATATATTTTAGTTTTTAAAAATAAAATTATTAAAATTTATTTACTTTTTTTCCAGGCACATGTATCTTCTTATTAAAAACAATCTTGTTCGAGATAGTATCTAGCACTACACGTAAATATTTTTCTCAGCGAGGTTTCAAAGCTTATTAATATTTATTTTGAACGTTAAATTATTTAATAATCATATTTGTTAAAAATCAATTTAGTTTCTCAGTGTAATAATGATAATGATTATAATAAATCAATCGAGATGGACCAAGTATTACGGAGGAAAATGGATTAGCCCCATCAATTCAGTCTTCACGTGGCGCAACTCGGTCAAGCCGACGATTTAAGCGATTCAAACGGTTGGTGTTTATGTTTTTTTTTTTTTTTCCTTGAACACTGAAATGATGTGTTTTGGCCAAGTTAATATTACATGTAATTCTTAAAATAAGAGTTGGTTTGATATAAATATAAGATCCTAGCTAATCCACTTTGTCTCTTATATATATGTATATATATTTTTTTAAGGTGGTCATCATAGTAGTTGTACATGTTAAATATTTCATCAAATGGTAGTTCTAATACACATAACTAGCAAAGATATTTTAAAAAAATATCTATTTATTACAAATAACTAACTTAACTAATTTTTTTAATTCACTCAAATTAGCCAACTAGCTCTTATATTAAGTGTCAGAGATAGCAAATTTTTTTGGGCTAAAAATTTGTGCTGAATTTAAAATAAATTCATGGTAAGATTATACCTTACAAATATAAATTGCTTTTATAATTAAATAAATATCTTCTGATCTTTCAATACCCTGTTTAAAATACTAAATCTACATCCTCATCATCAATGTTCTTTTCTTTACCAGTCCTGTTTCGTCCTACAGTGATTATTGTGGGTCTCTATCAAAGTGTTTGTAGAGACAAAAACTGTTGTTTTAAAAAATTCCAGAGATAAGGACTTGAGCCCATTCTCATAGAGCCCACAGGAAGAAGACCCAGCCCAATAGTGTTAGCAAACTTCATAATGAACTATCGTCTGTTACCCCCATTGGACTTCGATCCTCTATCTTCTTTTCTCCTCGCTCTCCCTTCTTTGTTTCAGTTATAATAATATCATTAAGATTTGAATTAAACATATAATTATATTTCATTCACTTTTATTACTTAAGTTTCAATAGTCTACCTTTTATTTATTTATTGATTTACAATTTAATTAAATTATGTTTTTTTTAAAAAAGGATAATCTTTTTAGGGTATTTGTGCTTTGATTTTTAGTTTTATCAAGGAAATATAGTACATTCACCAATTCAAAATACCAAAGTGTCGCCATTAGGGGTGTTGAAGGGACGAGAGGGGGGCATCCTCTTGGTCTAGTGGTGCTGAACGTGTTCCTGGTGGCAAAAGAACACGGGTTCGATCTGCTCTCTTGTAATCTGAAAAAAGAGATGAGAACAAAATAATCCTGTTCTGTAATCAAGAAAAGACGGTCTTTTCATCTCATGTCTCATTTCATATCGATCAATATCAAAGCACAATTAAAAAAAGAAATTTAGATTCCACTAATTAAGACTTAAATCATTAATAATGTCAAATATAACATTTACATAAAATTGAGAACATAATAGTTGTGTCTTCGAATTCCATATAATTAACACACGAGAGTTGATTTGACTCAAGGATAAACTTCAATGAGGGACCTTAAACCCAATAGAGGTGTAATCTTGTAGTGACTAAATCCAGCTTCTAAGAAGAGCTTCTTCCATTGTTTTTCATCCCTTTCTTCTCCATTCACCAAACACATCATCATCACATCAAAATAAAGATTGGCTTCTGTCGTTTCCTGCTTGTCTTTCTCTTCTTTGATGACTATGTCTATTATTATTACTTTCCCTTTGCTTGAAATGGCTTCTCTGCATTTCTTCAATACCTTCTCGCACTTCATCATTTAATGTGTGCAAAACCAGCTGCCATTTAATGGCGATTTAGATTTTCATCACTCATGTGAACATGTTTTATAAACAAAACTCATAAAGCACAAACAAAAGAAGCCATCCTGCTGGTCCTAAATACAAGAGATAGATAACTAATTTGTAAAAATTAAAAATATTAGTTAAATTAGTTATTTGTAAAAAAAAAATATTCATCTCTCTAATGTATCCATTTAATTGTCATTATTTTCTTGTAGTGGATCATTTTGTTTACTTTAATTTTCATTAATTTATAATATCAATTTGATCAAATATGCACACGTCGTTATTTAAATAGTGGAGTAGTTGAAGACAAAATCTTTTGTACTTTTTTCCCCACCAAAATATGTCTTCATTTGATGATTGGATTAATTTAAAAATATATATTATCTTTAAGAAGCAGCCTAGAACAAGGTGTGAGTTCATAACCCTGTTCTTCTTCTTCATCATTATCATCTTCTTTGGGGATTTTGGTTGAAGTGAAGATTCCAGAGTGAACCAGTAAGCGCATGAGCCTGTGGACATGGCTGGACCTTGAAGGGTTGATTTTTAGGGCTGAGACTACCTGAGGAAGAGTTATGGGTCTGCCATGGTTGAAGATTGTGTCTGGTATGCCAATCTGGATGGCACTTTTGAGGCACATAGATCTTACAAAACTGAATATGTGTTTGAACAAATCTGCTTGAATGATTGTATGGGATCTGATTCCCCTGAGTTTTAATTTTCCTTGTTGGGCTTAGCCCTCTTTTGTACCAAAAAAAAAAATCTGCTTGAGCTTCAAATAACTCTACTTCTCCTTTGATCTGCTCTTGTTTGCCTTCCATTTTCTTGCAGATATTTTCACTTTCTGCAGATGTGTTTGTGTTCTTGCTACTCAGTTTCTGTTTATAGTGGAAAAATGGGTCAATAAGTTGGGAGAAAAATTCAGAAGTGTTGAATTATTTTGTGAGTAGAATATCACCATTATACCCTTTGCTTTTTTACAAGGCACGTCATAGTTAATATAATATTTCAGGATTAGGATTTGTGTTTTCCGTGCAAAAGATTATTCTTCGTGGGTAAGTGATAGATTTTGTTGTAATATTTTATTTTCTCCATGGAACACATTTTAGTGATGCTTGTCTGTCCCGATTCTTAAATTGTCGCCTGGTTGATTACTTTTCATTGCCATTTTTTTTTAACAGAATCTTTACGGGTCAATTCGAAAGATTATGTGCTTATTAAAATAAGATTATTTTATTGGCTAAATTAATATGCATCCAACATCTTAATTTTTTTTTTTTATGGGCATCCAGTGTCCTGAATTTATTTTTTTGTGCATTCAGTACTGTAATATTATTTTTAGTGTATCCCGCACCCTATAGATTATATAGATTAGGATGTTGGATGTAACTAAAAAAATAATATCAAGGTATTGGATGCACAAAATTTAACACATTTGAAATGTAACAAATTTATTACAAATCTCGCATAATTTACAAAAAGTCTTTCTTACTTTACAATGTGTCCACTTCCATAACTTACGAGGTGGTCCTACTCAAGTGTAAAACATTTGACTCCAAAAATTTACATGAATATAGGACTTGTTTGGAATGGCTATTAAAGCCTTCAAAAATAGTTTTTCAATTATGAGTTACAGTATACAAAGTAAAAGTGTGCAAGGGGTTTTATTGCAATTTACATAAACATGCTTATAATAAGCAACTCCAAGCCTCCAAACAAGCATTATATCTTATCTTTTTTAGAAACGGGAACATCTCTAAGTGCAACTACTCTTCTAATGTTCATAATAACTATGTTATGCTATATTAATTAATAACTACATTTTTTCAATGGATGCCGAAGTTTCAACAACTTACTCAAGATCACTTTCCCTTATATAGATCGGTATCTTTTCAACTTCCTTATTATGATCAACTTATATGTAATTAGTCCATAAAATAATGGAACGTGCTTATCTCATAAAAATATTGCAAATAATTAAAAGAACCGGGCAAAATTTTATTCATTTAATTACTAACTAATATCTCACATCACCAATATCAGTAATGCGGTAAACTATGCATGGCTAATTATTATTTTTATTACAGATGTACATAGAAAAAAGCATTCAATTTTAAAAGACAAAATTTCGTCTTAGAAATTTCAAACCAGATAATGATTAGGCATAGGCTTCAATGATTGACCTAAAACCAAAATGAGGAGTAATATTTTGATGTTTGAAGCCTGCAAAGACAAGAAGTTTGTTCCATTCTTTCTCAGTTCTCTCTTTTCCATTGACAGCACTCATCATCAAAATGTCAAACAAGAGTTTACTGGTGCCATGTCACTGTGATCTTCCTTTTCCTTTATCATTGCGTCAATGATTATCACTTTTCCTCCTCCTTCAGCTTTCTTTGAAATTGCCTCCTTACATTTGTTTAGTATCTTTATGGAGCTTTCATCAACCCAATCATGTAATATCCACAGCACAAAATCAGAAACAGATAACTTTACATCCCTCTATTCAATAATTAAATTAAATATTATTCAACACTGCATCTGATTCCTAATATAAGAGCTAGTTGACTAGTTTGAGTAAATTAAGAAAATTAGCTAAGTTAGTTATTTGTAATAAATAGGTATTGTCTTCCCTAAAATACCCTTGCTAGTCATGTATATTAGGCAGAATTGTCATTTAATAAAACATTTAACATGTGTAACTGTTACAACAACTATCTTGAAAAAATAAGAATAAATATGAGAGATAGTGGATTAGAGTCTTATATTTAGGACCAAGTTGAATGTCAAACTAGTTCTTATATTAAGGATTGGAAATAGTATGTCATTATTAATATGAAATATAAAACCTGTAGCAATTATATATATATATATAAGAAGCAAATTTATTAAGAGTCTGATTTGCATAACTCTACACTTATGTGTAGTCTGATCTGACCGGTTTGATTTAGATTACCTGGGACTCAATATATCTTTTGATAATGGGTTGGTATAAAAGGAGAATTTAAGAAAATAGTTAGTAAAATTTTACTGCTATGTGGTCTTATTTGAACGATTCGTTAGGACCCAGTTTATCTTTTGGAAATGGGTTAATTTTAAAAAGGAAGACAAGTTAAGAAAATGACTTGCCTTTAATAGAACAGCATCAACAAAAGGGATGGATTCAAACATGCTGCTAGCAACATAACTCAAGTTATTACTTGCTGAACAGTTTTCAACAACTTGTGGAAGATCAAACACTATGCATTTCAGATTAGGATATGTCTCAAAGATGATCCTACATGTGGTTCCTGTGCCACCTCCAACATCAACGAGGGTTTCAAGTCCGTCGAAGATTGACTTGCAATCTCTAAGTGCCATGTTGATCATCTGTGAATCACTAGCCATTCCCTCATTAAAAGACTTTATATATTGATGATCACGTTCGAGCAGATCCCAAAAACCTAACCCAAAGGCACTCTCAACTATCGTCTTCTCCTCCCCTTTGAACCACCTTCCCAGAAAATCAAACGAGGCCATGAAACCAGTGTCGACAAACCCTAACACACCATTGGTGCTAGGTTAGGTTCCAAGCCATTCACGAGCAGTTTAGAAGATGGAGTGAGAGAATATGCTTCCTTTTCTTCTTCCTCGCTCACCTTGGTTTGTGCTAAGAAACCATTGTGCACCAGTAAGCGAGCAAGCCTCTCAATAGAGGTAGTTTTGGTTGGATATGAACTTCAAGTTTGGAGGCTAATTGAGGAATAGCAATGGGTTGGCCATGGCTGTGAATTATGTTTGGAATTCTTAGCTAAATAGCACACTTAAGAACTGTGCCATTAATGCAGCTGAGGATATGTTTATACAAGTGAGCTTGAGATTCAAAGAACTCACTGGCTAGGTTGGCTTCAATTGAATCCACCATAACTGTACAGTGTTTTTTTTGTTTGTTATAGCTTTTCTAAATATGTATTATCAGTTTGGGCTTGAAATAACTTACTTGGATGTTGTTTCAATAATGTAGAGAGTACCCTTATATAGAGCAGATTGACCAAGATAATTCAAATAAGTGACTAAGAAAGTTAGGCGTTTGTGGAATTTATTTCCTACTGGGTCCATCATTTTTAATTTATTTGTTAGTATTTTTTCTTGACAACTTTAATTTGCTACACATTCTTGATTTCTAGTCTTGATGTCCCCACTAGGAGGCTCTTGAGAGGAAGAAGAGTTATGTTCTTGTATTTCTTTTATCATACTTTCATGGGGTTATACTATTGTTAGTTCTTTTATTGAATTTTAGTGTTAACTCACTACTACAGATTTAATATTTGATGTCAAATATTTGACAATTATTTTAAAAAATGTCAAATAAGAGGAGGCGCTAATGAGCGGAATAATACTTAACATTTATTCTTAATAACTGTCAAGTATCTGTTTCAAATACTTGACGCTTTTTTGGTTATTGAGAATAACCATTAAGTATTTCATTTTAAAATTCTTAATATGTTCATTTCACCGCAACTCCATTTGAAATTTCTGTTGTAGTTTCTCTCTTGTGTGCTCTCCCCACACGTTTGAACAGTCGAATCTCTCATCCCCACCTAATGTTCGCACGTTTCCCATTAATTTTGTGGTGCTCTTCCATTGTGGTTGCATTTTCTGCTTTGTTCTCACTTTTTTTGGGTTATGCTTGTTTTCTTCTTCCCTCTCAGCTGTCTCTCATGCTCGTGTTTGGTTCTGCTTGTTACTGCAGGCTGGTCACGATTCCTCCTCTTCTTTAGAGTTCATGGTGGGTGGAATGACCGTTTTTCTCATTCAATTTATGGTTCTTCTCTTCTTTGCTTATGCCTTGTTGATTATTGAATGTTCTGAGTTGGTCTTTTGCAGGTTAAATGAAATTATTGATTTTTGTGAGTGGGTTCTGATTGTTTCTAGTTTTGAATTGCATTGTTGCTCTGCATTTACACTGTTTTGATTGTTCTAATTGTTAATGGTGAATGGTAAGAATAAAAAAGAATAGAGAAAGGGAATAAGAAATGATGGGAATGACATTGTTTTAGATAGTTTTAGGTTATTTAGATTTAATTAAACTCACATGAATGATAATTTTAGGTATTGGGTTTTCTAAATTAAAATTGTCTTGCAAGTTTGGTGTTTAATGATTCATTTCTTGAAGTCAAAATAGTGGAAAGAGAAGGTTCAAGGCCTGGGAAATACTCATTTTAAGCTGTTATGCTATCAAATTTTTTCTAATTGGAATGGAGACATGATTGAATTTAGATGGCATTATTTCTAAATTCAATGGCTTTTGTTTTTAGTATGAAAAATTAAACTTTCATGCAAGTTAATTGAAATTCAATGGCTTTGTTTTTCTTCAAGAAATCACTACTCCTTTTCCTTTGCTTATAAACACTATGAGAACTTGGAGTTTGCCATCTCCTGCGTCCCTCTCGTTGGCTACCGTTGGGTGTTGGTGTGGTGGTTATCATTAGTGCAGTGAGGAAGAAGGAAAAGCATGAGATGAGAGGCTTCAAAGGTGGGATTTTTTTTATTCTTTTTAAGTTCTCATATTTTTCATCTTTCAAGGTCTGCTTGCTACTCACTCTCCCTACCTAATGTCTCTCATATATTTTCGACTTGAGAGCATCAGCCTGGGTTTGCTTGACACTATCATCAACTCAAGATGTCTTCTTTCTAGAACAGATGGTTTAGAGAATTAAAAAAGAGGTATAAGAAATTACTCTGTAATTTGGGCAAATATGATATTGTATTGCAATAATTCATCTTCAGGGACCTCGCAACAATTCTGCAGAATGTTTGTTGTTTTATTTTTCATACTTCCTTTATTGTGTTCCACATTTGTTACGCATATTGGTTAGTCTTTTATCATCTACCTGTGTTCATATCTAGCAGACTGTGAATGTTATGATTTTTTTTATAATCCTTTTTGTAAGTATAAGTTTGAGGCTATCATTTTTCTTCACTGGACTGCTAAAGGTATTGAGTATGGTATTGGGTAATATCTGCAAGGCAATGTGTTAATTAGTAAAGCTTTATTTGCCTGGCAGTTGGTGATGTGCAGCTTCCTTGTGAGTTTCGTGTAAGCAAAGGATTTGTCCCATACCTCTTTATTCAAAACTTCATGTTAACCAAATTGAGTAGGTAATTATCAAAAGTCAATGGTACTTACCCACTGGTTCCAATGTTGAACTAGGCAGTTGAAGAGAAGGAAGCTGTACGTACAAAGCGAAATAGAGGATGGTCCTTGAACTAGGCAGTAGGCAGTTAAATTATTGCATATTTTATACGAGATCTTGTTTATTGTAAAAATTGCTTTCCGTGATTTATGAGAGGTCTTGGACAAAGTCTAAACACTTGGATTTATAGGAAGAAATCATAAGAAGTACTCTTGCTTGATTACAAAGATACTACACAAAGTTTAACACAGTTGGAAAGTAACAAATTTAAATCTCACATAATTTACAAAAGCCTTGCTTGCTTTACAATGTGTCAACTTGCAAGAGTTACAAGTGGTCTTACATCAAGTTTAAAATATTTGGATTCCAAAAATTCACATGACGATACGTGATTAAAGTATTCAAAAACAGCATCTCAATTGTGATTTGTAGTGTACGAAGTAAGTACACGAAAGGAGTTTTGTCTCGGCTTATATGAATATGCTTATAATAAGCCACTCCAAGCCTCGAAACAAGCACTATATCTTTTAGAAATGGGAATGTTTCTTAACTACATTTTTTTAATGGATACCGAAGTTTCAATAACTTACCCAAAACCTCACTTTCCCTTATACATATCAATGTCTTTTCAACTTTCTTATTATGATCAACTTATATGTAATTAGTCCATAAAATAACTGTACGTGCTTATCTCATAAAAATATTGCAAATAATTAAAAGAACCGATCAAATTTTATTCACTTAATGACTATCTCACATCACCAATATGAGTAATGCGCCAGCCTTTGCATGGCTAATTATTATTATTACAAAAGTACGTAGCAGAAAACATACAATTTTAAAAGACTAATTAAATTTAATCCCAAAAATTTCGTCCAACCACAAATAATGATTAAGGATAAGCCTCAATGATTGACCTAAAACCAAAAAGAGGAGTAATCTTGTGGTGTTTGAAGCCCGCAGAGACCAGAAGTTTGTTCCATTCTTTCTCAGTTCTCTCTTTTCCATTGAGAGTACTCATCATCAAAATGTCAAACAAGAGTTTCACTTGTGTCATGTCATTCTCATCTTCCTTTTCCTTTATCACTGCATCAATGATTATCACTTTTCCTCCTTCTTCATCTTTCTTTGAAATTGCCTCCTTACATTTGTTCAGTATCTTTATGGAGCTTTCATCATCCCAGTTGTGTAATATCCACTGCACAAAATCAACAACAGGTAATGTTACATCCCTCTGGTCGGTGATTAAATTAAATATTAGTCAATATATAGCATTAGTATTAATATGAAATCTAAAATCTATAGCAATTATATATATAAGAAGAGAATTTATTAAAAATCTGATTTGCATAACTTTACACTCATGTTTGCTCTGATCTGACCGGTTTGGGACTCAATATATCTTTTGAAAATGGATTGGGATAAAAAAAATTTAAGAAATTGGTTGCAGAATTTTACACCTATGTGTTATGACTTGGTAGATTATAGGGTGTTTCGATTAGCTCTTTTTTTTTTGGAGCAAAGTTTGGATTAACTTTTTGAAAGTGATTTTACGGACTTAAAAGTGAATATGTAAGAGATGTTTTATCTCAACTTACGTAAAAACACTTTTTTAAATGCTTTTGAGCATTTTCCAATAATTTATCCTTTGGAAATGGTCAAGTTGATCTCAGAAAGAATTTAAGAAACTAGTTTGTGAAATTTTACACCTATGTGGTCTAGTATGACCGATTCCATTTAGATTAGTTTGGAAAAGGGTTATTTAAAAAAAGGAAGAGAACTAAAGAAAATAACTTGCCTTTAACAAAATAGCATCAGCAGAAGGGATGGATTCAAACATGCTGCCACTAACATAGCTCAAGTTGTGGCTTCCTGAAGAGTTTTCAACAACTTGCGGAAGATCAAACACTATGCATTTCAAATTTGGATATCTCTCAGAGATTATCCTACAAGTGGTTCCTATTCCACCTCCTACATCAACCAGGGTTTCAAGTCCGTCGAAGATTGACTTGCAATCTCTAAGTGCCATGTTGATCATCTGTGAATCACTAGCCATTCCCTCATTAAAAGACTTCATATATTGATGATCACGTTTGAGCATATCCCAAAACCCTAACCCAAAGGCACTCTCAACTATCGTCTTCTCCTCCCCTTTGAACCACCTTCCTAGAAAATCAAACGAAGCCATGAAACCAGTGTCAACAAACCCTAACACCATTGGTGCTAGGTTAGGTTCCAAGCCATTGACGAGTAGTTTAGAAGATGGAGTGAGAGAATATGCCTTTTTTTCTTCTTCTTCCTCCTCGTTCACCTTGGTTTGTGCTAAGAAACCATTGTGCACCAGTAAGCGAACAAGCCTCTCAATAGAGGCAGTTTTGGTTGGATGAACTTCAAGTTTGGAGGCTAATTGAGGAATAGTAAGGGGTTGGCCATGGCTGTGGATTATGTCTGGAATTCTTAGCTGAACAGCACACTTAAGAACTGCACCATTAATGTGGCTGAAAATGTGTTTATACAAGTGAGCTTGAGCTTCAAAGGACTCACTTGCTGGGTTGGCTTGAATTGAACCCATAACTATGCAATGATTTTTTTTGGTAATGAGCTCTTCTAAATCTGTATGCTCAGCTAGTAGTTGGGGCTTGAAATAACTTACTTGGATGTTGTTTCAATAACATAAAGAGTACCCTACTTATATAGAGCAAATTGATCAAGAAAATTCAAATAAATAATTGAGTAAGAAGGTTTCTTCGTACGTTTGCAGAATTTATTTCCGGCTGGGTCCATCAATTTTCTTTGTTAGTATTTTTCCTTGATATCTTTAATTTGCTGTACATTCTTGACTTTTAGTTTCTATGTCTCCACTAGATGGTTCCTGAGAGTAAGACGATTGTGCTTTTGTATTGCTTTTATCGTACTTTTAAGGAATTATACTATTATCAGTACTTTTATCGAATTTTAGTTTTAACACCTATACTTTCATTGAATTTTAGTTTTGCATTGTTGTAGTTTCATTTCATTGAATTTTAGCATGAATTCAAATGTTAGAAAATAAAATCTAATTTCTAACGTTTGAATACATGATATGTTTTCTTACTTTAATTTCAATTTGAAATGGTGCAATCATTTTTATCTAGTATAACTAAAATAACTCTATTTCAGCTATGCGCAACATATGTTTAATTATGTGCAAAATGACTTTCATATTGAAAGCATTTACACAAAGTTAGAGATATGTTATATGCAATTGAAAAAAGTTAAACCCATTAAAAATGATTGCACTAAGGTCCTCTAGACACAAAAAAAAGTGCCAAATGGAAAATTTCCCAATTTTCCCTAAAAAGGGGAATTTTTACTTTTTAATGAGTTTTGGTTCTACTACACCATCTACTTTTATTGAATTTTGCTTTTAGTCCCCATGAGTTTTAGCTTTAATCCTTATATTTTTAATAAGTTTTAGTTTTGATCCCATGCATAATGACGTCAATTAAAGTTAATACCGTTAAACTTAAATCAAGTTCTTATAAAACTATAGGAACTAATGTTTTGGATGAAAGAAATTTTACGGAGAAGAAACCACAATTTGATACTATAGGAATCAAAATCAAAATTTGATTAAGCTGTAAAGATCAAGGTATTAACCTTACTTCTAATTTGTTAATTCTCTAACATAGTACTTAAATCCTTTGATACATGAACAACTTATACTTACTATTTTTTAATGTAATTATTAATCATCAGTTTTTAAATTATTGAACCATAATTTTTTTTATTTTACGTTGCTACATTTTGAAAATATACTCCATCTATTTCAAAATATAAGTCTTCTAGAAGAAAATTTTAATCCAAAATATAAAAAATTAACAGGATATTTAATGACGATTTTCTACTTTTACCCCTTGTTAAAGAGGAAAGGGTTTTAGATATAGGGGAGAGAGAACAAAGGTGATATATAGATAATAAAAGCATGGTCAAAAACACAATTTTATTATATTTTCCAATCACATTTTCTAATAAAGGGTAAAATAGGTAACTTTTATCAATTTAAGATATATTTAAGGGAAAATTCCAGAAAAAGCCCTTGGAATATAGAAAATTTTATATTTGGTCTTGAAATTTTGAAAATGACAGAAAGGGTCAATGGCTCAATCAGTCATTTGCAAAATCAATAGGAATTGACAACTTTGCCCTCATTTGTATTTACTACAATGATTTAAAGAATCACTATAAGGGTTTAGGTGTTACCTAGATTTGTGTAAGAATAACTACTCACTTTTGTTATTAACTATAAGGCACTTAACTACTCACCAGAGATAATATATTAATAACTAATTATAAGAAAACCAAAAAAATTAGGCCCGCAAAAAGAAATTAAAGAAGAACAAGAAGGAAAATGTTTAATTTTCAGCTTCTTTCTTGCAGTAGAAAACCAATAGTTCGTGGGGAAAAAAAAACAAAACAAAAACAAATATCTAGACGCAGGCAGCTGGAAGAAACGTAGAAATTTCAGATGGGTATGTGTGGGTATTAATCCGATCCGTTAACTGAATGGACATGGTCGAAAGATATTGACTGAATACTTTTCAATCCTTATACTTTGACTAACATAATGTTGAATAAAAGGACATTTCCATTCAAATTTCTGGAATTCCAATGTTGTATTAATTGAATGAAGACGTTCTCTCTGCAAATTAAACCCAAGTAAGCTGTATATATATTAATGGTTGCAAAATAGGACAACTTGTCATAGATTTTTTTCTTAAAAAAAAAAAAGGCGAATGACATTGATGATGATTAGAATATCAAACTTTTCAATTTTTTAGTAGTTATTAATGCATACCAATTTAACTAACTCGTTACAGATCAAATTCTTTTATTTAATTTTCATTCACATGAACTGGAGTTCAACTATATTTTAATGGCAGATTTACCTTATTCATATTTAAAGCCTTATAATATAGGAATATTGTTGGCAAGTGAATTATGGAAATGTGGAAATTTCTGGAGAATTCGTACGGGACCACGGGTTCCTGTTTCATTGAAAAGCAATTCGGAATGTTTAAGTCTGTGAACCTCGTTTGCTTGACTAAAAATATTATGATCATTTTTCTCACTTGCTCAGAAATTGGCCCGACGTACTTGCTGGGTTGTTGAAATATTATTGCTATGTAAAGATTAAAGTGATTAATGTACTAAAAATAATAAAAATAATATCAGGACACTGAATGTATTATTAAAAATATTAAAGTGTTGGATGCATATGAAAAATAAAATCAAGATGCTAGATGCATCTTTAGCTTTATATTTAATTGTTTTCATGACTCTAGGACCATGTTGTTTTATTTTTCTATTTAAAATATTTTTAACAAACTAAATTGATACTTTGAATTATTTTAAATAGTTTGTTGTGCGGCAAAGTCCCTTGGCTCTTGTGAGATTTGGTTAATTGAATTGTAAGTCTACATGCTGTTAGATGAGGTGTTACAAAAAACATGCTTAAGATTTAATCATTTAGTATAATATTTTTATATATTAAAAGATGAGTCATTGATGTTAGAAATCAGATGACATCTTTATTAGGTTTTATTTTAAATATTTTTCAATTTTCAAATTTTTAATTAAAAATTAATATGTGAATATTCAATTGCAAAGTACGTTGTTTAAATTCATTGAGTCAATAATTTTTGTTAATGAGACAAAAAATATTGTTAACATTTTTTCTCACCAACAAACAGTGTTAACATTAAAAGACTAAAAATACATTTTGTAAATTAAAAGAAGTAAATTAAAACTTAATGTAAACTTAAAAGACCAAATATACACATTAATTCATTAACCATAAACTTATTATTATTATTATTATTATTATTATAATATAATAAAATTTAATAGAGTTTTTTTTGGCCAAAACTAAAAAAATTAAAAAAACATATGATATTTGATGCACTTCCACGAACACATGCTTTTATAACAATAACATGCATGGCCTAACCACAAAAAGTAACAATTGTAATGTAAATTTAATAACTGCGTCATTTTTTTTATTTTTGCTTTGATTTTATAAAATTTATGTGTATTTTTATATTTTCAAAAAGCATATGATATTGCACACACCTTGGGTAAAACTTTAGGATATTTTTACACCTTTATCAAAAAAATACTCATAAATTTTTACTTAAAGCGTATCAAACACTATATACCTTTTAGATGTATAAAAAAATACATGAAAGTGCAAAATTAAAGATAAATGACACAACTATTAAACCTAAAAAGGATCGCAAGGGATGCTATAATAGTCAAAACACGACGTGAAAGTCCACTGATCTACACAAATATCTCCAAGTCATTGGAAAAAACAAGAAGCTTCAGACAAAGACAACCACACTTGAAGAGGAGTCTAGCAACTTCCTCTACTTTCCACATTGAAGATGATGTCACCGTCCACCTCTTCCCTTATTGGATCCAATGTTTCAACAAAAAGCGAAATTCCTTTTTTTTACTCCGAATATTTTTTTCGGGTAGCTGGTATATTCCAATTAAACTAACTAAATGTGGATCAAATTCTTTTATTTAATTTTTATTTATATTAATTGGAATTCAACTATATTTTAATGATATATTTACTCTATTCAAATTTAGACAATTATAGTATAAGATTGTTGGCAAGGGAATTCTGAAAATGTGGATATTTCTAGATAATTTGTACGGAGTTCATATTCCATTGAAATGCACTTTGCAATATTGAGCCCTCGGAACCTCTTTTCTTGACTGAGAATTTAAATTGGCCTCGTCTTACATGTTAGGTTGTGGAATCCACTCGCAACTTAGGTGAGGGATAAGAACAGTAATTAAAAAAGAAAAGGAGAAATGATAAATAAGGATTGCATAAACCTGGTAATTACAATTTAAATCCTTAATTGTAACTAAGAAAATTCCTATGCCAAAAAAATTAGGATACTAATACGTGCTCTTTGCAGTATAATTTAGGGCCAAAAATATATACTTTAACACTATTTTATTTTGGTTGGCTTGTATGTCTATAATAACATTGAATCATAATTATTGACTTTTAAAATTCGAAGGGGCTTGTTTCTATCAATCACACTTCCTGTGCAAGTTAACTTTTTAAGAACTACGCAACCTAAAAATTCACGTCGCGTTTGCTTGTTGAATTTTCATGAGCATATATAGTTGCCCATTATTAACTTTGAATTAAGAAAGTAAGTTTGACACATTCAAAAAATTTTATGAGATCGTAAACGATTTATGTTTAATTTTTGTAATTACTATTTTAATATCATTTTTCAAATATTGACTGTTAGAAAAATCTTTTTATTTTATTTTCATTACTTCTTAAAGAAATAACTTTCTTCAAAAGAAATGATTTCTTTTTATGTACTACCTCCGGTCTTATTTATAAGACCTCGTTTGTAAACTACAAACGAGATCTTATAAATAGGACCGGAGGTAGTATTTCATAACTTTTGGTCATGGTTTAGGGGAAGTTTTTGTTTTTGGCCAGAAGTTTAGAGGAAGTATTGGATGTATTGAAATTGTTATTACTTGACTTGAATTATTAATGTGTGTGTGTATAGAAAGAAAGAGAGATGCCAGAAAATATGTAGGATGCCAGAAAATCAAGTATAAATAATTGCTTGTTATATGAGATTAAACAAATTTATAGAGGTAGTACTACAAAGAAACATGGTTTTAGCGACGGAATTTAGTGACGGAATTAGCGACGGATTAGTGACGGATTTTCCGTCGCTAATTACCGACGGAATTTTTCCGTCGCAAATCCGTCGCTAACTCGATTTTTTTTAAAATAAAATAAAATGCCACGTGGCACCTTTACCAATTGCCACGTCATCACTGAGAACACCTCCACGTGTCGCTGCCACGTCACATCTACTGCCACGTGTGCGCCACGTGTCACCACCACATAATTCCCTTCTTAAAGTGACTTCTCCATGGCTTGAACCCAGGACCTCCTCCGTGCGCATGTGCGGCTTTACCAGTTGAGTTGCAATGAACCTGTTGACTTATTATGTAAAATTAAATATATATTATATTATTTTACACAAACAATTATATATACATATATATTATTAAAAACTAAAAATATACTAGATGATAATTTTAATAATAACTATTTTAATGAAAAAATATTTTTTAAATATTTTTTTTACTATTTTTATAATTTTTTATTTTTTAAAAATCTTTTTAATATAATTTTAATTTCTAACGACACTAATTTTGAATTTTACATCATAAATAATTTTTCATAAATATTTTTTAAATTTATTTTTAATTAACATTGATAAGATATATAATTTAATTATATATATTATATTACATTATATTATATATGTATATGTGGTTTATATATTTGAAGAAAATCATTTACAATTAGTCAAAAAATCTTGTTATTCAAAAATTCAAAAAATAACTACTATAATAAAATCTAATAAATTATTTTATATAAAAAATTAAATGATTTAAATAGATTATGATAAACAGTATTTTCCTACTTGTATATATATCCTATGTAATTTATTTTCTTAAACTTTGCGACGGAAACAAATTCTGTTGCTAATTTCTGACGGAATTGCGACGGAATTTCCGTCGCTAATTTTTTTGCCAGATTAGCGACGGAATTATCTGACAGAAAAAGATTCCGTCACTAAATACGGATTAGCGACGGACAGAAATTCCGTCGCTAATCTGTCAAAAAAATTAGCGACGGAATTTCCGTCGCAAATTCCGTTGCAAATTCCGTCGCAAATTAGTGACGGAATTTGTTTCCGTCGCAAATTTCGTCGCTAATTCGCTGTTTTTTTGTAGTGTAGGATTGGAAAATATTATTTCCTCCCACGGTATTTCTTAATCTTACATACATGGATTTGTCTAATCTCATATGACAAGTAATTTATCATGCTAAACACTCTTTTAATAAAAAAAATTTTCAATTTCAATCCCAATCTCTCATTTTTCAATGCTTCGTATCAAACGGTACCAAAAAGTTCTCCCTTTGAATTCTCTTCTAATGGAGACAGAATAAAATGGGTGAAAATTAGAGGTTAAAAATTTTCATCAAGTCATAACAAAAATAGTAACAAACAAACTAAAGTGGCGATGGTCTATCCAAGAATTATGAATTACATGTATTTAATTATAAAAACGAATTTTCTTAGTCAACATTTAGAATTCGATTGCTTTGTGAATCTGCTCTATGTAAGGGAACTCCATCTTTGCCATTAACGAAAGACACCATACAAGCATAGAGAGTTCTTTCAAATCAAGTTTGAAGAGCTCAAGGAAATCCCTATATGGTTTTATATATGGATTCCATTATTGAAGCCAACCCAATAACACGTGAGTTCTTTGAAGCTCAAGCTCACTTGTATAAACATATTTTCAGCCACATCAATGGAATGGTTCTGAAATGTGCCATTCAATTAAACATCCCAGACATAATCCACAACCATGGCCAACCCATTACTATTCCTCAATTGATCTCCAAACTTGAAATTCACCCAACCAAAACTGCTTGTGTAGAGAGGCTTGTTCGTTTCTTGGTTCACAATGGCTTCTTATCAAAAACCAAAGTGAACGATGAGGAAGATGAGGAGGGAGAAAATGAGGCATTCGTTCTCACTCCTTCTTCTACATTGCTTGTTAAGGGCTTGGAACCTAACCTAATACCAATGGTTTTAGCAACTTTTCACACTGATGTGATTGCTTCATTGGATTTGCTGGGGAAGTGGTTCAAAGGGAAGGAGAAGACAGTTTCTGAGAGTGCCTTTGGTTTAGGGATATGGGATCTGCTTGAAAGTGAAAGACTTAAGATGAAGGGATGGCTAGCGATTCGCAGATGGTTGCCATGGCACTCAGAGAGTGCAAGTCAATTTTCCAAGGACTTGAAACCCTAGTTGATGTAGGAGGTGGCACAGGCACAACATGTAGGATCATCTCTGAGAGACATCCTAATATGAAATGCATAGTGTTTGATCTTCCACAAGTTGTTCAAAACTCTTCAGGAAGCAATAATCTGAGTTATGTTGGTGGCAGCATGTTTGAATTCATCCCTTCTGCTGATGTTGTTTTGTTGAAGGCACGTTATTTCTTAAATTCCATTTTGGTCAATATGTTTTCATATACTCTATGGTTCTAAATATACAAGTTATATAACTAATTTATAAAGCTTAAGAAAACTAATTGAATTAGTTATTTGACAAAAAAAATTATGTGTTAGTTTTCATGAAATACCCTATAATCATCTGTAACGAAAACTATTTCATTTAAAGCTCTTTCAATAGGAATTGGTTTTGGTGCAAATCAACGATGAGCACTATATTCAAATTACTCCTCTATAATATGTGCGATCACTAGGAATAGTTAAAAGGAAAAAAGTTATTAATTGAAGAAATAAAATAAATTAAGATCTTACAAGATTAAATCAAAATTTTCAATTAGCTCCTATATTAAGAACTAAAGAAAGTATCAAAGTGAGTCTTGACTAATTTATATATCGAGTACTCGATGAGATCACTTGGGTGTAAGACTTTCCAATCAATTTCCTAAAATAATATATTGATATATTAGATATTGAAATTAATAGTTGAAAAGGTTTGTAACATTTGTTTGTCATGATTTGATTTTGTGCAGTGGATATTACATAACTGGGATGATGAGAGCTGCATAAAAATACTGAGCAAATGTAAGGAGGCAGTGACAAAGAAAGGCGAAGCAGGAAAAGTGATAATCATAGATGCAGTGATAAAGGAGAAGGAAGAAAAGAATGAAATGAGAGAAGTGAAACTTTTGTTCGATATTATGATGATGACTTCCTTCAATGGAAAAGAAAGAACTGAGAAAGAATGGAACAACCTTCTTGTTTCTGTAGGCTTTAAGCATCACAAGATTACTCCTCTTTTCGGTTTTAGGTCAATTATTATAGCATACCCTTAATCAGTTATTACTATATATATCCTCTGGTTTTCACGACTTAGTTCAGAGATTAAAGTTTGCGCTCAAAATTTTATAATTCGTTCTACTACTGATAATAACAAGTAGCCATGCAGTGTGTACTGTTGGTGAGAGGTAGTATTCATTTGCAATTGCAAGGAAATAACATTGTTCGTTTATCTTTAATTGCTTACGTATGTTTTTCTTTTTTTTTTGTTTTTGTTTTTATTTATGACTCTAGATCTAAAATTTCAAATAAGCACGTTCTGTTATTTAATTAAGAAAAAATTAATATCTAGGTGTTTAGCTTATTTTTGATCTGGTTCTTATATTTTTTTTCCCCTTCTTTATTGAGTCTCCTCAATTATAAACATTAGTTCATAATCTCATGATTTATTAATTCGCAAAAAAAAAAAAAACCATTGGTCTGTCTTAACGTATAATTGAATTAAATTTGCCACATGGACCTAATAAAAACCAACCAAATTATATATTATTATATATAGATACAAGGAGATAATTATGAGCATATAATAATTTTTACTATTTTGATCATAAATAAATTTTATTATATTATTTTACTTCTTAAAAAATCTCTTTTTTATTTTATATATATTGTGTGGTAACTTACATGTCATGTATCAACCTTAGCATCAGCCCCATTTAATAGATTATAAGTACAAAAACTAATGCCTATAACTGAAGAAACTATAAATGTGGGATCTATACAAAAAATTGAACACAATTAATTATCTAGTGAAACTATAAGGTTGCGTTTAGCAGGAAATATTGAAAATTAGGGATAGAAATTAATATTAGAATTGAAAAAAATCTATTAAAAAGACATTTAGCATAAGAGATTGCTTGTAACATGTGATTAGTCAAACCCCATGCATGTGGAATTGGAGAATACCATGTAGGGAAGTGGTAATCTCCAATCCCACCTCTATGAGTTTGCCTAATCTTATAGAACAAATAATTATTCATGTTAAATATTATTTTAATAATTTTTTTTAATTACAATTCTAATTTCTATCCCTCATTTTTAATACTTCATACCAAACGGGACATAATGTTCACGAAGTATAATTTTTCCTTTAAGTAATAGATAACGGATAAGTATGTGTGGCAGTATAAAATTGCAACTCACAGAATGTTAAGGGATATTTTCATGCCATAAATTAAAATATGTTCCCGTTATATATTCACAATTATATAGAGTTTAGAATAATCTTTTTTGTATCGTTGTATTACGTACTATAAACCCATCACAAAGTCATTAAAAGATCAACTAAGATTGGTTAATCATTTAGGTATTAAAAGGGTTAACATATCATTTGGAAAATGATTGTTCAAACCTAATTCTAATTGAATGTGTTTAATTGATGGAAAACAAAGAGTTGGTTTAGTGGTATAAGGCCTTGTTAGATCTCTCAAGTCTTGAGTTCAAATCTCAAAGGAGACACCTCTATTGAAAGGAGAGTCCACAAACTCTAAATCGGATTAATTGGTTGCTATCAAAACGGGTGGTGGCCCTCACCTACTTATATACTGCTAATGTATTTTTAAATTATAAAAAATGAAGAGTTAATATTATTGTTCATCATTATAGTTTGTTCTATTTTTTATTTTTGGTTTCTGTACATAATTTTATATAATTCATTTTGGTACCTATAATTTCATAAGGACTTAGTTCCCATAGGATTCTTTTTTTAACTTAACTATTTTTAACAATGTTCTGGATATAAAATAGTTAATAAATCCATGTAACAACAAGAAGCACAAGGCTGGTCCAAAAAAAAAAAAAGAAGCACAAGAATTGTATACATAAATTGCCCCATTTCACAACTAATGCATGACATCATTTATTTGGGTCACATATGACGTTCCTTCTGATGTAACTACCTTTCTTGGCCTTATCAGAAAAAAAACTACCTTTCTTGGAATCTAACACACAAGAAGCCATGTCAGGTTTTACAACAAACAATTAACCAAAGAACCCTCACACCCTTTTCTCCACAGCCAGTATCGCTGGCTCAGAAATTAGATATCAACTTTCCTTCTTCTTTTTTTAAAGTTAAAAAATTTTATTAATTAAAAAGAGTTTTATTAATTACACATATTAGAAGGATTTTTTATTTCTAAAATTAATTTTCAATGTAAATAATTAAAAAGAATATTCTAAAGAAACCAACACATATTTATTATAAATACCTAATTTTAACTGATTTTTTTAATACTGATAAATTAGTTATTTGGCTCTCATTCCTACATCTCAAATTGGAGGGAATACACAAAAGTGTAATATATACACACACACATAATTAAAAATTATTTTATGTTTTAAAAAATAATTTTTCTTGTTCTTAATTTTGTGAAAAAAAATACAACAAATATATAACAAAATGTGGATCTTTTCTATTTTTATTTATTATTAATTTTGAAATTAGATTATCATTAAGGTGGATTTCAGCTTGTTTGCATTTCTTTATTTTAAGAGCTTATAAGCATTTTCATGTAAGTTGAAACGAAACTCTTCTCACATATTTATTTCATATTCCACAAACTACATTCGCATTAAACACCCTACTGAATGAACTGCATGGACATTAAAGCAAAAGATTTCCCGCTTTTACTATTTTTTTTCTTTTTAATGTCACTTCTAAAGATGCTTGAATTTGATGCAGTCTTTATTTCATTTCTTTCTTTCTTTCTTTCCTGTTTTCTTTTTTTTTTTTTTTGGGTAGTGCTTCATTTCCTTTACATCTCATCTTTCTTTCCCCTTTAAAAGCGTCTGAATGCATTACAAAATTAAATCTTTGTATCACCTGGTGGGAAAGCAATTATCATCAACTTACAGAACTACATGTTAGAATAATGGATGTTCTGGCTATCTTTATCTTCTCTGTACTCTCAATATCAAGTCTGAAACATTCCCTTCCTCTTTATTTTCATCAATTTTTTCTTCAAAGCATATCTTCTGCACTATGTAACACCAGTTTCTTTTTTCATTCTACAGAAGCAGAAATCTCAAGTAAGATCGGCGTAAACTATGGCCGAGTCGGGAACAACCTGCCTTCTCCAGCTCAATCCGTTGGGCTACTAACAACAATGAAAGCAGGACGTGTGAAGCTGTATGATGCAAACCCAGAAATTCTGAATCTTCTATCAGAAACCAAGTTTGAAGTCTCCATTATGGTCCCTAACAGCGAAATCTCAAGCATTGCTTCAAACCAAAGCATATCAGATGAATGGGTGAGGCAGAATGTCTTGCCTTACTACCCCAAAACCTTGATTCGCTTTTTGCTTGTAGGTAATGAAGTGCTGAGTGATTATTCAGTACAAGGCCAAAAGATATGGCTTCATCTTGTGCCAGCAATGAGAAGGATCAAAAGGTCTCTCAATGCTCAGAACATTACCAATATCAAAGTTAGTACACCAGTAGCCATGGACGTTTTAGAGACCACTTTCCCGCCGTCGTCTGGGGCATTCCAATCCAGGATAAAAGACACTGTGATGGTACCAATGCTTGAGTTCCTTCACAGAACCAATTCATTCTTCTTCATTGATGCATATACTTATTTTCCGTGGTCATCCAACCCCAACAATATTAGCCTAGATTTTGCCCTTCTTGGAGGAAATTTCACTACCACTGACCCTGTCAGTGGCTTCTTCTACACCAATTTACTGGACCAAATGCTTGACTCAGTTATCTTTGCCATGTCCAAACTCGGGTTCCCTGGCATCAGGTTGGTGATATCTGAAACCGGGTGGCCTAATTCCGGCGACATGGATGAAGCCGGTGCAAATATATACAATGCAGCAATGTACAACCGGAATCTCATCAAGAAAATCACAGCAAAACCACCCCTTGGGACCCCGGCTCGTCCTGGTGTTGTTATTCCAACCTTCATCTTCTCCTTGTACGATGAGAACCTGAAGAATGGGCCAGAAATAGAGCGACATTGGGGACTGTTACATCCAGATGGGACACCACTGTATGAAATTGACTTAACGGGTAAAAGGGCTCCATCAGATTTTGCACCATTACCTTCTCCAATGAACAATTCATCATACAGAGGAAAGGTTTGGTGTATGGCAGCAAGAGGAGCAAACCCCAGTAAGCTCTCTCGTGTCCTAAAATCCTACACCAAAAGAAAAAAGCTAATAACTTGTATGTTCGTTTGCTGTCATTTTGCAATTTTGATGTCTCAGTTATTTTGGTTGATGAAGCAGGTCGTGGATCTTGCAACTTCCCAAATGTCTGAAGACAATGAAGCAGAACACTAAAGGTGGAAACAAATATTTCCGAGATATTGCAATTTAAAACTACCCTAAATAAGGGCTAACACAATTTCTCAACTTTGTTCTTATGAATAAGTTACCTTATTCCCGATCATCGGTGATAAACAAATGTTTGAAGCATCCTGAATAAGATATTTTGATGCGCCTACAAGACCAACCCACAGAGTTGTGCTATAATACCTCCTGAGCAGAACTAATCTGCACTGTAAAGCCAGCATGATTGTCACATCAAGATTGCTTCACATAACATAGCATCATAATGATGGCCTCAATGGCCATGTACATGTATTTTCTTGTCATAAGAAATGATGATTTAACTTCTGTTCTATGGACACGCTACTAGAATATTATTAACAACTACAAGTTATGATTATCAATTTTTTCGCATTCCTTTAGGACAGTCGAAAAATGCATGAATCTAGAATAGAAGTCTAAGAAGGGCATAAAATTGAAATCTCGCTCAATCTCACAATCAGAACATTGCATTTCATCCAACCATCAATCACACAAATAGCGCTGAATTTCACTCCCACCCCGACTTTGAGGAGTTGAAGTTCAACCATAGCAAGCACAGCAGGTGGTCACTTTAGTGAATCAAACCAGAGCAAACAAACCGCAACACCAACAACTCCCGACGTCCAATATGATTAAAGAAGTGAAATCCCATTATGGTATGCATTGTGATCGTGATCGCTAATTTAGGGTAAAAGAATCAAAAATTATCGAAGAAGAGAGAAGAACCTTTGAGAGAAACATCGATGTTTTGGTCGGCTTTAAGGAAATTATGTGAAAATGACCCCAGCCTGCCAAAGGGAAGGGATAATGGGGCTTCCATGCATAATACTAAGTTGCGAGTTCGAGAGGGAGGCCCCTCCGGTGGGTCTCGAATAAGTACTGTAATCAACTAAACAACCAAAACAAAACAAAGAACATAAGTCTACTTGGACAGGGATACAAAAATAATTAAAATTATGTGTCGTCCTGGCTAGATAATCAGCAATAATAATGTTTTGTCTAGAAGTGGGTTTAGGGGGGAAAAAATTCAAATGGGATTATAGTATTTGAGTAGGTCGAACATCAAGAAGGAAAATTTCCCAACTTTTTTAAATCAACACTCTCCCCGCTTCGGATCTGGTGAAAAGGAATTGATCACAAACAAGTCACTACAGCTCGTCCGGCTTCAAACGGACAACAATCATTGCATAATGAGAGGCAATAAATTAAAGGGAGCCAAAAATTAATATTATTAGTTTATTTTTTAAGGAGAAAAGCCTATTAAAAATCACATGTAATTGGAAAAGTATAAATATAAATCAATTGATAAATATTCCAAATCCCTAATTAGTGCATGGACGTAATTTGGGATTTGAAAATTTAGGCATTTTACTTCATTGTTTCTTTTTTTTTTTTTGTCCAATGACACTCTTGTTAATGAGGCAACGATTGGCTGCCACTTCGTCAGCGATTGGAGCTCCAACAACAAAGATTGAACTCTAACAATAATGGCTAAAGCTCTAACGACAACTTTATTACAAAATATTTTTATGAATAGCTAATAAAATTTAAATTGTTAAATTGTATTTGCTAATTTTTAAGCCTATATTGTGATTAAATTACAACAAAAGTTTATTAAAGAATTGCAAATATTTTGTTATAAATAACTAATAAGAACTTTGAATTACTAAATTGAACTTATTAATTTCTAGATTTGTTTTGTAGTTGAATAACAGCAATTTTATTATGAATAGTTAATGGGGAATTATGAATCTTGTTAATTTCTAAAACAAGCATAGAACAGCATAGTATTCACATTAATGATAAGTACAAATTATGAGCATAGAAAGTAGCTGTTATAATTAAAAAAAATCAATAAGGATTAGGATATTAATTATTTTTATAAAGCAATAAAATCAATTATACTCTTCATTCTTTTTCTTTTTGCTTTTTGTGCTGGGTATAGATAGAACATTGAAATCAATGTTTTAAAAGCTGGACTGAAAGTCAAGCCAAAGAAACTAGCGAATCATGATTCAAACAGTCGGATCAATCAGACCGGTGCGATAATTAAATAAAAAATATTATAATTTATTGAAAAAGAAAAAAAGGGTAAAATGAAAAAGGAGGTTTTATTTTTTTTTTCCGCTTTATTCTTTTTTTCTTTTCAATTTTTGAGATGCTCTAGTGCTTTTTGACCTTCCATGGACGCTTTTGGGATTTGTATTTATTTTTAAGTATTTCAAGATACCTCTTCCTTTTAACCATTGAATTAAACTATCATGTAACATCTTGCAGCCATCGATATATTTTCAATTGAAAAAGTTTTCAACTCCAACCATTCACTTCAGTTTCGGCGACCTCAAGATCCACCTTCGACTGTTCTTTATATCTTACGCTTCTGGTGCAGATTTTTTTTTTTTTTTGCTACTATTTTCAAAGATAGATCAAGGTTTGTGGCTGAGGCTAAGTAGATTTGAGTAAGTTATTTATCATAATTTAAACTGAATTTTCTCATATAACCTTCTAAATATTTTTATCTTTCCTCAACCCTCTTCATCTTCTTTTCCATTTGACATTTGACGATGGTGACGCATTCCTGTCTGGCCTGTTCCTGTCTAACTCCAACTCCCGGCTAAATGGCCATCCAGAAACGGTCCAAAACGGCCTAACTAATTAAGTAATCAAACCATAAAAACGAGCCGAAAAACTCTCCAATCACTGACAGGACCAGTCCAACAGTCCGGCTTTTAATTCATTGATTGAAATACAAAGAGAGGCAACGGACATGCAGCAGAAAGGAAAAATACTACTATTTTTCTATTAAAAACCATAGATGCAGTGTCAGATATTAAAGGTGAACAATTCTTTTGATGAAAATTTGAACATTTATTCCCTTCCGTTCGACTCAACCTACCCCAACTTATTGGTTAATGCAATCAATCTCTCATGTACTATTTAAACAAGAAGAAAAAAAACATGATATGTGGACATTAGATCCCCAATATTGGCGGGTTATGCATGCTTCTTCAACCCCTCTACTTGGGCAGCCTTGCTCTTCATGATGCTTTGAAAGAAATTGGAGTACCTACTCATTCATCCATTTAATGGAATAATTATCAAAAAGAGAGTATGGTTATTGGGAGAAAATTGACCAGTCCTTAGATTTCTAAACATCAACGTTTTTTAACAAAACAAAGAGTTTAAACGATAATTCTGGAACGAAGGGAGTATATCCTCAAAGCCAGTGACTATATTACATGATAAAAGTCAAATTAAATATAATATATGATAAAATTTTCTAGGGTGTCAACGATTTAAATGACATGTAAATAGTCAAAAGACTTTCAAATCAAGCTTGGTCCTGCACAATATAGCAGTTCCAAGACAGAGCAAGCATCATAAGATTAAAGGCAACTTATTCATATCAATCTGTATATATGATTAAAGGTGAATATAAAGTTTACGTCAAGGGAAAAGAAAAACAGGTTGAAAGAGTACAAAGTAAATGCGATATACAAAATGTTGCGCATCATTTTTCCTCCAGGCGCCGTAGCATTGACTCAGCAAAGTTTTGTTGCCTACAAATGCCCAGTAACCAACCAGTAAGTGCCATGACTCAGATTTCTCAAAACCCATATTTTTTTAATCTAATTTAGTATCATGATCCAGCATTTGCCAAATATAGAAAGCACAATCAATTAATTACTCTACAAAGTAACCATTTCATTTGAAACACCAAAAAGCGCAAAGTAAGAAGCAATTTACAAATCTTATCTAATATTTATGCATTCAACACATCTTACCAGTAATACAAATAGATAAAACAGTGCCAAAGCAAGAGATTTGCAACCTAGAAAACCATAAGTGCAAAAAAATAGAACAACAAACTAACTAAATGTATACCCCAAACTAGGTGGGCCCAATGTATTCATCCACACTGTTAACGACTAATGAATTGTGAGAATTTTCCTAAATTAGATGGTTTCTACTGATATTACTATCAACTATAACACCTAGATTATCGGCCATATTATAGCAAAAGGGTGCGCCCCAAGAGAAACTAAGAAATAGAACTTACTTTCCTTCTTTCAGCTTTGGGCTAGGACGAGAATACTTCAGATATCCATCCCAAGGAACCTTTTTAAGACCAGCTCGAACTGAGATTATGTCTCTCACCCTACATTAAAGTAAAATACAGACGGTCTCAACACATTAAAGATGCCAAGCATAGACTTTCATGCACAACCGTTTGCACTACACAACTTTCTTCTTATAATTAAAGAGGAAAATTATTTACCTCTCAGCAAACTCAATGGCTGTTTCTCCTGGCTTCAGATTCTGTGGCTCCAAGTACCAAACATCACAAACAACAGCCCAAGATGTCATTAGCTGCAGCAGATGCATAGTGAATGATTGCCTGCAAATGAATGAAATCCAACCATTACTCCTCTAATACAGCAGTGGGATCCATGCAAGTATAGAAGTAATTAACATCAAAAGGCATAACCTTACTTTCGACTATTCCAAAAAGCATCCACAAATATTTTATTGTATTTTATTGCGACTGGGCAAACTGTGCAGTCAAGCTCAAATGCACCCTAAACATCAATAAAAAGTTAAATGCTTTGATGACAAATTAAGAATACAACTAGAGTAGAAATCAATGTGGGGGTGCGGGGGAGTATTAGAAACAAAAGAAAGAAAGAACGCCCATTGCATAAGCCTATATGTGTACACAACTGCATTTTTCACAGATTCACGTACCTTCTTGAACATGACTGTGTAGTGATTATTTACACAAGTTCCCTCGGGAAATATGAGAAGAGGGTTATTGTCAATTCCCTGGACATGATCCCTCAATCTGAAGAATGTAAAACAGAAAAGTCAAAACAAATGAAATCAGATAGACGTTTCCTCAGTTTTCAATTAAGCTCACTTCTTGGCAACAATTTCTCGATCCTTTGCCTCAGAACGATTGAACCAGATACATCCTACACTCTCCAAAATGGTGCTCTGCAATAATCCTACACAAAACAGCCAATATTTATGAAATACATGAATTACTGAAACCAAATTACCCAAATATGGCTTGTCATAATACTATATATGCATAATAAATTATCATATTACATGTGAATAAACAAACAGGTTTTAATTTAGCAAGATGCTTACCAACCCATCCAGGATGCTTCTGCATAATTACAGCAAATGCAGTCATCTGTTCTAAAATAATGAAATCAATCATGGAAGTATGGTTGGCCACAAAAACCTGTTCAAGGAACTCATATTATCAGTCAATAACATTCACATTTACTTAAATACTACCTCCAATCCTAATTATAAGAGCTAGTTGACTAATTTGAAGAGATTAAGGAAAGAAGTTAAGTTAGTTATTTGTCATAAATAGGTATTGTCTTTTTTAAAATATCCTTACTAATCAAGTGTATTGGCTAGAACTACTATTGTTAGAAAGACTATCTTGAAAAAAAATACATAAATATTATGGACAAAGTAAATTGGGATCTTATATTTAGAACCAAAATAAAAGTCAAACGAGGTTGTATATTAAGGACCAGAGGTAGTATACAGATAAGGTGACATCTGGCAATCGATATATCTTAGACATACCTGCTTTGGTCTTATGCTAGGACGTGGCCCATGATATTTGACAACCCCAGTCCATGATGCAACAAAAAAACTGCACATCATCTCTACCAAAGATCTCTGAAGGACAAGTTCAATTTGCATCATATCCAATTTGATGTATAAAAGTCACATCGGAATTGTACAACAGGGAGAAAATATGAAAGACAGCAATTTGGAGTCTTGAGACAGTATGTGCTATAATATCACAGGTTGGACTACAACTAGTCCCATGCATTCCACTGTATACAGCATCCTTCAAATAGATGAGTTCATGAAAAACATAAACTATTAATTGAAATTATGTCCGCCAATAAATTGGCCAACCTTTACAGTATGAACGATATATTATAAAAATGACAGCCATTCACTTGTGTTTGGTTTTGTACAAAACTTTAGATTAGTCTGATTAGTAATATAATTGTATAGGCACTTGTTTAACAAAATTATCTTCTCCCAGTAGTTTAAATTGTTAATGGAAAATTCTTCGACTTCAATGGAAGCAATCAGAAGTGAAGAAAATATACGTGCCATGTCTTTCATTCTATGCGGAGCAAAATGAATTGAAGTCTACCAGGCAATAGGTACTCAAAATTAACAGAAAATTAAACAAATATTCACTAAATATTCCAATAAAAGTAGAGGCGCGTACCTCCTCAAATGAGTACTTTTAAAATATAAGCCAATTGTACATCGTTTCTCATTTTTTGCTAAAAATATAAAGGCATTCCCTCTATTTTCAAAACATACACTTGTCCAATTTTTATTTTTTTTGGAGTTGAATAAAAACAATTTGGACTAAAATAACCTCCATACAAAATAGGTAAGCGTGTCCTTTTGCCAGAATACATGAAAGGATTGATGGAGGACATTTTAGTCCAGAAAAACAATTAAAACTGGATTAAAGTGTATACTTTAAGATTAAAGGGGATGCTTCTGCAATTGCAGCTAAACTTGAGATGCCTATGCCATTTATTTTTGAACTATGTATTTTAAGAACTACAAACCAAAAATTATTTTGTGCTTTAAAATTATTCAAAACAACAGTTTTAAGCCTTCTTCGTTCTTTTTATGGCATATATGAAAAACGAGGGAGAAAACTACAAATTGGATGGTATAACATTGCATGTGGGTAAATAGGCACCTCAATCTTTCTCCTCAACTTGTCATGTCTCTTCAATAGGAAATGCACAGGAATGAAGGATGAAAGAAATATTATCCATCCTATTGTCAACACTATGACCCTGTAAGTTCAAATAAAAAGTATCAGAAGGCCAGACGTAATCAACAGTAAACGAGTTTATGAATGAGAGACACAATGGAGATCCATAAATCAGGTTTAAAATGGAAATTTGATGTAATCAAAGTTGAAATTCAAATTTTATATAATATTTAGCCAAGTGGACTCCAAAATAACAAGACTCATCGTTACTGCGCCATGCATAACATGATTGCGACTAAATATTGCAAAGGTGTACGCTAACCTTGCAGGGAACAGTATCAAATATCGAACGAAGACTCCAAAACACCACAAAGGGAACAGATAAACATTCCAATTCCAAGGTTCAGGAGGATTTGACTTGAAGCATCTTGTGAATGAATCCTATACAACACAGAAATTTTCAACCTAGAGCAAACACCCGAATGTAACAAAGGTCAAAAACAAGGGATTGAAAAACATCTCCATTAGTGTGTGCGTGTGCACATACCCACACATTTTATGAGCTTCAGAATAAATTGCAGATTCTTAACGCAAGCCTAAATACCTGAGAACAGAACCCAAAAGAAATCCTAAGGAGAAGCAGTACACAAGCTAGTCCATGTGCTATTTTTTAAGCCTCAATCTGATGTGTCAATCAAAGTAGACATGGGATTAGACTTTTATTAGGTGGTTATGGTAGTTATCAGGTTAAGAGGTAGCTAGTTAGTTATGGTTGTCAATTGGCCATCAGAAAGCTTTGCCTACAAAAGGAAAGCAACTGTAAGTTAGATGCTATGCTTATTATGAGCTATTCAGCACACTATCCAGTTAGAACCCCTCTCTCTCGACTCTCTAATCCCATCCTCCCTCTCAACCCCCCCCCCCCCCCACAAAAGGGCGGGGGCAGCTTTCCTTTTCTTTCCTCATTCTTTCTACCACACAACACAGTGCCTCATGATTTTTAATATCCGGTAATCATTCATCTAAAAATAATGGTGGGGCACCAAAGAAAGGGCAAATCTTACATCTACAATGGCACCAGCTGCCTCGGATAAAGTGGGAGAAATGTTGAGCAAGTCACGCCTGAAAACCAATAATCAAATAGCAAAATCTAAAAATGTTGAATGAACAGAGAGGAGGAGTTGAAATTTTACATGAGCAAGTAAATCTCAATGCTTCAGCAGCATCAATTGAATAAAAACTGCTCCTATCTAACAACTCGCTCTTATTTAACATCCAACTAAACAGTAGTCACACTAAAGAGAAAGAGGCATACAGGCAAAGCTTGCCATGAGGTTCTTGTTGAATGGTCGTCCCAGAAGGGAGGTAATCTTCGATGTTGGGTCGATCAAGGTCCAATTCAGAACTAGAAGATTTGAGCTTCCCAGTAGTACCCATCGCTGTTTGGCTTTCACCACTGCCAGAGATTTCTGAAAGATAAAGTTAAGGTTAAATCAGTTGATCATTAAATCAGAAACCTTATCAATCGAGTTCACCCGATAATTAAAGATTCTGATTGGATCCTTGAAAATTTTCAATCAGATTCAACTCCAGATGGAACATGTCAAGTGCCCAAAAAAAAATTGCTTACTTTAGAAGAAAAGAGTTGGTAACTTGTTTTGTTGTCCATTTACCAACTTCGACGCTAAGGTGACGAATTTCAAACACACAAAACTCCTTTCATCTTGGGCATAGTCAAAGTTCGAAGTTCGTCACAAAGTTGGTGAGCGAAAAGCACAAGTTAACAACTCTTTTCTAAAGTAAGGCATCAACTTTTTGCACTTAACATATTCCATTTGGAATTGTACAACCGGAAAGTAGATGATGCTAGGAAAAATTCTGCTGAACAAGTAAACAATTTTACCAGTGCTCAGCCGCAAATAACTTCTACGAGTCAGAAATCTCGGACGAGAATCAAAGAAATGCTACCACTCAGTCGAGCAATCAGGCATCGCATCCCAGAGATTCACCGTCGGAGGAAGAGTTCTGCGAGATGATGATTGTTCGAAGGCAGATCAAAACCCGGCACTTTCACGCACCAACGGATAAATTTGAGAAACAACCTGCAACGAGCCCAAGGAACGATACTTGAGGCAATGTTTCAGACATCAAAATCACGATGTGAAGCAATTGCTGATCTTAATCATGAAACCATGCAAGGCATTAGGGAAGCCACACCTAAATCCGAGAAACACCCATCCCACGACAAGAAGGCGAAGAAGCAGGTTTGAGAAAGAGTGAGCAGGTACGAAGAGAAATCGTCATGTAGAGGCTGAAATGTCAGACAAGATGATGACAACGGCTAGAGCTAGCAAAGTGGCAAAGGGGAAAGCGAGACGCAACAGATTGAAGAGGATTGATTCAACGAAAGCCTCAAATGGAAAGACCCAAAAGACTTTGTCCAAAGCCACTCACATGAAAATAAACCAACAATTGAACAAACAGCTCTTGATCATAGGCCCAACGTGAGGAAAACGAAGGCTTTAGTGATAGTTCAGGAATTGGGCTCAAATAGGCCCATTGGATCAAAATAACAAGGAAAATCAGAATAGGCTTTTCTGGCCCACTGGAGTTCGGGCATCTGGTGGTGTCAATAGCCGCCAACCAGTAGTGGAGGAAATTGTTTTTTCTTTTACATACAAGAGCAATTAGGTCACTTCACAAAACATTTAATTTCAAAATAGTCGTTAAAAGACTGAATTAGTTGCGTTTTTATCTAAGGATTTGAATAAACTCACTCACCCATGTGGTTATTAGGTTGAGTTCGTCTTGTTATCAAAATTATGTTTTTTCATATCTTTCTTTCCCCCATTGATGGCAGAAAAGCTCGTGATTCTCAAAGCCGAAACCCAAGAGGACGAAAACAATGTTTTTTCTATGGGATGAGGCGAATTAGATAGTCTTGGAATATGGGCCAGCCCGCCCGTTGCACTGAATTGAAGTAGCCTGTGACAGTGTGACTTGAAGAGCCGGCGGGTTAGCGAGCTGCTACCAGTGCGTCAGTATTTTTCTTAAAACCTGATTTTTTTTTTTCCATTCAAATTTATCAAAATCCCAAATATACACGAGTCTGCATCACATTTTTTATTGGAAAAATCGCAAAAAAATCTGTCCAAATAAAAAAATTGCAAATAGAAACCCACGACAATATTAGTATGTTTTTTTTTATAAAAAAACATTAGTATGGGTTTTGAAAATAATTTTTATGAATGGGTCTTTATATGCAATTTTTTAATTTTGGTGATCTTTTTTTGTAATTTTTTCTTTTTTATTCATTACTCTATAAAGTTATATAGGGGTTGAGATATATCCAACACCCTGAAATATTTTTTCGGATACATCCAATACTCTGAAATATTTTGTGGTGTATCTAGCATCCTAATATTTTTGGGTGCCGGATGCATCTTAGAAAAACATTTTGATGTGCTGAATGTACTAAAAAAAAAATACTCACGGTGCTGAACGTATCTAAAAAATATTTCAAAATATTGAATATATCACAAAATATTTTAGGATATTGGGTGCACCTGAGAAAATAGTTTGGGATGCTGAATGTACCTTAACCAATTATAAAAGATTAATACAACTTTTATTCTTTTAAATTTGACCCCTTTTTTTTTTTGATACCTCATGATCTTTCAAATTTTTTTCGGTCTAAAGAATTGATCCCTACAAGTTAATAAAAATTTGCACCATTTTTCTCTTGAACCAAAACTCAATTTCAGCAGTTAAAACCAAAATTTATACAACGATGAAAGATTATAGTTACCCAATTATAAAAAGCAACAATATTGTAACTGAAACAGAGAGGATAACATTCTAATTCCTTAAACAAGCAATGATGCATGTATACATGAGCCTAGATCAATTGAAACTAAACAAACCCCATCCTAATCTAATCCCAGTGATTAAGAGCCCATCCTAATAATTAAGAACCTGTTTGAAACACCTTATAAATAATTTATAAGAAATTTTTTTAATAGTAATTTACGAAATACGAGATAAATATGTGAGAGAAGTTTTATCTCGACTTACATAAAATGTGTTTATAAGAACTTTTTACCGTGGTGCCAAACAGGCACTAAATAGGATAACTTTCTAATTCCTTAAGCAGAAAGTATATTAAACATGATATAGTTTGAGTTAAAATAAATCAGACTACCAGCCAAGGATATCCTTAACTTAAAAGAATGATGAAACGAAGAGGAACCGATCAGGAAGTAGCTGGCCTAGTTATCACTGATCAGCAAATAAAAAGCAGAACGGGGTATGACTCGAGGAGCACACTTACACGATTGAAGATGTAGGCTAAAGGAAATGAGATGAGATTGTGGACCTCACTGAGATTCACGATCACCCATCAACAAAGCCGTAGAACCATTACTAGTTTGAGCCATTGAGGGAATAGGACGAGGTGGAGAGGAGAGGCCGAGCAAAGCAATCCTTTGCGGCGTCAAGCAAAGACAGAGCACGCTGCGACTGAGAGAGGTGGGCGACGGCTGAGAGGCGAGCTACGGCGTGCCGCGTGCGTGAGCCGTGAAGCCGTGAGGTGTGATTGTGCGTGAGGGTGAGGGACGACGGCGTGAGCCGTGAGCCGTGAGGCAGCTGTGAGATGAGAGGTGAGATTGAGAAGGGGACACTCGGAGACGGAGAGAACCAGAGAGGGGCCGCCGTGAGATTGAGGAGGGAAGAGTCGGAGATGTAGAGAGGGGTTAGGGATTGCGGGGAGGCAAGAAGCAAGATGCAGTAAGAACATGGAACAAGATGATGCTCCTCGTGAGGGCGGCGCAAGCGACCAGATTCTTGCCATCTTTTTTCTTTTCTTTTCTTTTTTTTCCTTTTTTTTAATTATTTACTCCTCCGGTCCTTATTATAAAACCCAATTTGACTTTTTATTTGGTCCTAATTATAAAACCCCAATCCATTTTATCTCTTATATTTATGCATTTTTTTCCAAGATAATCCTTATAATAATGATAGTTTTAGCCAATATACTTGATTAGCAAGGATATTTTAGGAATGACAACACTTATTTATTATAAATAACAAACTTAACTTACTTCCTTAATCTCCTCAAATAAGTCAATTGGGTCTTATAATTAGGATCGGAAGAGTATTATGAATCGTGAATAGTCTTAAGGGAAAATTGGGGATGACTGGTAAATAATACTTGCAGAATCTGTGTAACTTAACTTTTCTCATGTGCAATTTATCTTTCCTTATATACAATCACATTTTTTTGTGTCACATATTTTCTTGTGTGCAACTCATTTTTTTTTATGTGCAAGTTATTATCTTTATGTGTAAGTCAGTCTTTTGTATCTAAATATTGTTTTGTGTAAACCATTTTCTTTATGTGCAACGCAACTTTTATGTGCAACCTATCTTTCTTCTTATAACTCATTAAATTAAAGACAATTTGCCAATTAATTTTTCAATAAGAGATTTATTTCCAATTTTTCTGTCTGTTAATTAAAAATAGAGCTACCGATGAGATTATTAGAAAACTAAGAATTGTTTAGTTTCTTATTTTGAAAATATATTTTTTTTTAAAAACTTGTCTATTGATTTATTTTTAATTAAGTGTTTCAAAAAAGCAGTAATATATTTTTAAAAAAATTTTAATTCAGTTATTTTTAATTTTTAATTAAGTTGTTTTTGCATTTCTAATTTTTTATTTTGAAAAATTGGGGGGAAAAAAATTTTCCCCACGCACTTACTACCCATCATGTGCCCTTACTTACCACTACCATCTGACCACTAACAATGGCTGCTGCCCGCCATGTGCCCTTGTCGACTGTCATTCTCTCACCGCTAACAGGCGGAAGATGGGGTAGGAGCAGGTAGCTGTCGCAGAATTTTTCTAGTCAAACTCTGCCTTTTGTTCACCAAGAAACAATTGTTTTTTCAGTAGCAAAATTGTAAGTATTTCCCTTTTTAAATCTGTGTCTGGTACTAAATTGGTAAATTTATAAATACTTTTATATGGTTCTGAAATTATAGCATGCAATGTTTCATTTAACAATCACTTATTTCTTTCACTGCAATATTTTATAATTTTATTTTTCTGGATGTCGAAAATAAGTTGTGTCTTTTTCCAATGTAATTTTTAAAATTATTATCCAAACAAATTTTTGTTTTTTTTCCAAACCTTGTTTTGAAAAAAATTAATTTTGTACAATTGTTTTGAAGAATTAAAATTAAAAAAAAGCCCCTACGTTTCTCTGAGAGGATTCGCTTTGAAGCTACTGGGTTCTTTGGGGGAATTGGGTTGCTCTGTAATGATCAAAGTCGATGTGATTATTTTTATTCTCTGCTCCAATATTCAAACTTTATTGCAAAATTTATTTTAAGTCTGATAGTACTCAGTATCTTCTTTCTTGCGTTCATGGTGACTTGCAGCCTTATCATCATAGACTTCTTTAGGATGCTATTATGAATTTGGTTGCTACTATAACTGAGCTCTGACTTGTTCTTTGAGATTTCTCGCACCCCACCTGCCGACAAACACAGACGTATCCTTGTAACCTCAGCTTTGTGTCCTCTTGCAACTTTGATGCTTCAATTCTCAATATCTTCTTCATTTTTGATGGATGGATCAGGTCCACGATCTTGCAAGTTCCCCTGGCGTGACTGTCTGGTCAGAACTAAGCAGAACACAAGGTGTATACACAGAGTTCCGAAAATATTGCAGTTTAAAATTACTTCTTTTTTTTTCTAGACATGAGTATTCTCTTATTAAAAGCAACATGTTCAAGACATTATCAATACTAAACGTGGACAACTCTTTTAATGAAGATTCAAAAATTGATTTGTTGTGTTACGAGGAACTAACTTCCTCTACTATAGCTTTAAAATTATTGTTTTAAAAATACTATTACGATGTACGAAATAAATATGTAAAGGAGTATGTTTTGATTTGCGAAAAAATATTTTTATTTTTTTAAGTAATCCAAACACCCCAAAACCAACCCCTTTTGATGGTTCAAAATTGCTTTAAATTCAAATTACTTTCAATAAAGGGATGTGACACAATTCTACAACTTTGCTCTCATGAATAACTTACCTTATTCTCCATCATCTGTGACAAGTGTTTTAAGCATCTCAAATAAGATCTTTCGATGGGGCATAAAAACTAGCCCAGCAAGTTATCCAATCTGCCGTGGCTACTTTACATCTTGATTTTTGAAAAATGTTTTCTTCATCTCCATCTATCAATTCGGCTTCTTCCTCTTCTTAGGCCAATCCTTTTGTCCACCAGTGCTTCCTCTTCCTCTAATTTTATATCTATCAATAATAAGAACTATGCTACTATCTTCTGAGAATTAGTTAGAAATTCAATTTAGTGTTACATATAAAATTTTAATTTATTTTGTCTCTCCAATTTATTGATTTTTTTACAAATAATATTTTAAAAAAATAACACTCATTTATTACAAATAATTAATTTAACTAATTTTTTAATATTTATAAATTAATTATGTAACTTCTATATTAGAGTTAAAGTGCAATCCACCCCCGAGGTTTTTCGTTTGTCGCAATTTCAACCTAGACCTATTTTGAGGTGCAATTTTTGTCACGTCGTATTTTTAAATGGGAAAATGTTCAGCCTATTGGACGATTTGGCTACGTTGACTGTGAATACTTGAGAAGACCAAAGACTAGTTCTTGAATATGTATTCGAGAAAACCAATTCTCAAATATATATTAGACAAAAACAGTTTAGAGAAAAGTAATTTAGCAAAATGTAAGAAGCTTCTCAAATATGTACTCACGAAGACCAAATCTTGAATATATAGTAGAGAAAACTGATCAAGAAATATTCTTAGGCCATGGTTTTGCTAAAAATTATAAATTTAGAAAATACATTTGTCATCAGTAAAACATAAATTCTGACAACTCATACATATCCCAAATAACAAGTAACAAACAAAGTACAATTCCCAAATCTAACCAACAAAATACACATCGAAAATGCAATTTTGATTCACTCCAACATGGGCTTTTTTACCAAAATACGATAAACAGTAAAACTTTTTACCAAAATGCTACACTTTTAAAACTATTTACCAATATGCTATACTTAAAATCGTTCTTGGGAAGAACGATTTTCAAATTACACACAAGTCGTTCTTGGCGTGAACGATTTCACTTTTAAATTTTTTTAAAATCAAAAGGTGAAATCGTTCTTGGCGTGAACGATTTCAGAAATCGTTCACGCCAAGAACGATTTCACCCTTGCATGCAAAAATAAAAATCCCTGATGATGCTCCCGCAAGGCTACGACATACTCCTCTGGTCCTATTTATAGAGCAGAGAGAGAAGGTATTTTTTGGTCCTATTTATAGGGTACTAAGAGAAATTTTTTATATGGATGTACAATTTTACCCCTCATTTATTATTGTGTTGACTTTATTTATATGAGGTATAATGTATATTAAATAGGGATAAAGTTGAAAATTCATTAAATTTTAAATAAGAGTTAATGAAGTTTAAAGTTTTTCTTGGTCTGTGTGAAACATGTTGGAAGTGCCTTATAAATAGGACCAGAAGAGTATATAGTAAATTTTACTTCATCTAACTTATATTTGATTAAAATTTGAAAACCCCGGTTTTTTTTTGAATTTTTTTTCAAATAGAGCTTGATGAAATTTTCTATCATTTCCTCTTCTTTTTATCTATCTCATACCAAACAGTACGTAACAAAAAAGGTTATGTTTTGATTGTAAATTTTTAATTGTAGCAATTAAGTTGTAAGACTAAATTATTATTATTATTATTTTGGTCATAGGCATAAAAGGCCCATGCCCAATACTTGATTTCTTGTCAAACCGAACAAATACCACACGACAGGCTTTTTTACCAAAATACTACAAACTGTAAAATTATACATCAATATGCTGCACTTTTAAAAGTATTTACTAATATATTACACTTAAAATAGGTCTTCAGGTGAATAATTTTTAAAGTCATTTATCTGGTGAACGACTTCTTCATAATCCGTCCTTGATGTGCATGAGGTGAATGAAAATCGTTCTTCTGGTGAACAACTTCAAAACTTCATCTGCTGTTGAATGACTTCTCCCCTTCTCTCTTGATTAAAATGATTAGTATAATGATTTATCAATCATTTGAATGACAAAATCATGACTATATAATGAGAGAAAAATGTTATAATGATGTTAAAACTAATTGTGAAATAAGTATAAGATTAAAAACAAAAAGTAATAAATAAAGTTTAAGTTTATAAAGAAAAAATTATCCACCTCACTGATAGTGACTTCCAGTACCACATCTTGGCCTTCTTCTCCTACGTTATGGGCGTTGTTGTTGTATGTCAATTTCTTGAGCTTCAAATGTCTCATTTGTTTGTATAGTTGGCGTGTTCAAATCAAACCAGGGTGATTCATTTAAATGTATAGATTGTCGAGGAGTGACAAATGCTTCATTTGATGGTCCACCATGTTCAAAAGTAGAAGCATTGTATTCAGCTGAAAATAATGCAGGATTATCTAATAAAGTCATGAATGGTTGAAATTGAGAAGGATTGGCTGAGTTGGAAGGGGATGATGATGAGGGTGCCATGTAACGAGACTCAAGTTGTGTAGGATCGATAGAGATGAAGGGGGATGATGGTGACAGTGATATGTCAGAAGCCTGAGTAAAAATTGGAGGTTCCTGTTCCCTTGCATTTTCGTTTTCAATTATAGGTTGGGTAGACAAGTAACCACCTCGTCGCTTGCTTGGTCTATCACGAGGAATTTGTGGCCGAGGCAACTCAATTGTTGGTGGAGCAGGCTGAGGGTTTACATTAAAACATTGTTCTCTAAGTGCAAGTAAAATGTTACGCTGGTCGTGAGCAACCCTATCTCGATAATCAACACAACTAGGGCATGTTGAACGAGAATTAATTGAAAGCCTGTATAGCTCCTCTGCTATGTCAGACTGAAAAAAAATAATAAGATATAAGATAATAAAACTTTTTGTGTAAAATAAAATAATATTAATGGTGAAAAAATGAAAAACTTACCGCACGACCTGTATCACTACTGATACGTTGAATCCATCGTCTTGTATGTCTCCAATACCATTGCATGTACTGAGATATTCGATCAAGTTCATCAAATGCTATAGGAGCATTAACAATTACATGTGGCCATCTATCCCATGCTTGAATGAAATCTGCGTATTTGTCAATCCAATTTGTAGTTGTTTTACCTCGTAATTGGATCGTGTGGTAATTTCTCAAATGAACAGGCATGGAAGGAATTGGTTGCTGACGACCAAATTGCTGTAGTACACGGTCAGGATGATGCCATTCTATAATATTAAAACATATTAAAGGAACTGAAGCACGCCAAATTTCGGGTATTGTCAAGCAATACTCAGGAATCAATTGGCGCACATAAGGAGATTCATATGGCTGCCATATTATCTCATCATCGGTCATTTTATCCAGAAAGCTCCTATATCGGATTAAAGACGCAGCAAGTGGACGTGGGTTTTGTCTAACATTTTTCCATCTGTTATTACAAAAAAGTAATGTTAAAAATTATATAATTTTAATAATATAAGAGCATAACAAATAGTTAGTTAATAAATTTAGCATACCTAAAACCCAAAGGAGGTAAGAGAGGGTAGATATCAGATTGTGGATCTGGATACCTAGGTTGTTGTGGTGCTAGCATAGGAAAACGATCCCATGCCCATAAATGAAGTAATGATAAGCATCCTCCAATCCCATCCTCAGTTGGGTTAGTAGCATTACACAATTCTCTGTATAGGTGAGCTAAAACTGCTGATCCCCAACTGTATTTTCCAGCTTCTTGAAGATCATAAAGTAGTGGAAGGTACATTAGATACACCCTGCTACCCGATCTATCTGGCATGAGATATCCACCAATCAACCTGAGGATATATGCACGAGTGAATTGTTGAACTTGTACATCATCCGCATTATCAGGTAGGTGATTAAAGTTCTCTTCCAACCAACTTATAAGTAGTCGCTGCCCACTTAGTCTATCTGCAGATGGTCTAATACCTAGAAAACATTCACATATGTCTTGCCAATTAAAGTCAGTTCGGCCAATAACTGCCATTCCTTCACATGGAAGGCCCAATTGTTTAGCTACATCCTCTAATGTTATGGTGCATTCTCCACGTGTAGTGTGAAATGTATGAGTCTCAGGACGCCACCTCTCAACTAGTGCTGAGACCAAACCTCGATCATAATCAAACTGTCCTACTCGAGCAGCACCATAAAATCCAGCTAATATAAGATATTCAATTATTTGATTAGGTGGGTTAATCATTTGATTAGAGTGCATGACTCGTCTAGTGTGTAGGACCCTGTTAACCTATAGTGGAAAAGGGAAAAAATATTATTATAGAAACATCAATGAAATAATATATAAGAAATAGATTTTACTTACATTATTATTCCACACATGTTCGGAAATATGTTGGGTTTGCAAGTACAAAAGAGAGTTATCCTCTGGGCCAGGATTTATCACCTCTTCTGGAAGTTGTGCCATTTTAAAATGTCTCTGCATAAGGTAAAGGACAAATTCCAAATAATATAAAAGAAATCAAACTAATTATAATATAATCTTCATAAAACATAATGTTTTTATTACAAAAGTGAAATACATAATTTATTGTCGAGATGCTACACTTTGTGGACAAGTAGAACGGTTATGACCAACTTGTCGACATAATCCACACTTGTTAGGTTCATTGGGTGTGGTCCAATCCATCTCATTTCTTATGCGACTTGAGCAAGGACGTCCTTTATCTCTAATCATTGATGGGTTAGGTATTAGAAGACAATCAATCTGTGGCCAGTACATCTCATCTCCCACTGGTTGGAACTCATTATTATAAACCATTTGCATAGTTTCCAACCGAAAAACAGGATCCACATATTGTAAATGGTCTATGCCTACTCGTGCACAAGCAGCAATGGCATGCATACATGGAAACTTTTCTGCTTGAAACTCTCCACAATCACATTTTCTGTCAATCGAATTCACCTTGCAACACCGACGAAATTGACGACATCGAACATTATATGGCTCCATAACCTCAAATGATGTTGCTATTCTGTTAAAATCTTGAACTATACAAGCAGATGCACTTTGTGTTGCTATATCTAACTTCTTTGTCATTGTCTCGGAAAATACCTTACCAACCATAATTTGAGCATGAACTTGTTGGGCACGTTTGACAAAATAATTATTGACTCTATACATGGTTGCCTTAACTAAACCTGTTATTGGTAGACTTCGAACACCTTTAAATACATTATTCATGCACTCTGCAAGATTGGTTGTCATGTGTCCAAAACGAAGACCTTCAAAGTCATATGCACGTGACCATTTCTCTTTTGGGATGGCTCCGATCCATCTAGCTGCAGGAGTATGGTGCAATGCTATTTCTGCTAATTCTCTGTCAACAACATGACGTTCATAAGCATACCCTACATATTATTATTAGCACTTGTTAGAATGATTATAAAATCAAATAGTTATAAGATCATAAAAAGCACAAGGAATCTCACCAATATTTATAAACTTCTCTTTTAACCAATTTGTTCCATGTGCTTTGTGAAGATTTGAAGCCACGTGTCATAGACAAAAAACATGATGTCCATGTGGTGGTTGCCATCCAACTTGGGGTTGAGCAACAGCAGCCAAAATTGAACGATGTCTATCTGAAATTAAGCAAATTCCTGTTCTATCTTTTACAACACATTGGCGTACAAGGTGTAAGAACCATGCCCAAGCAGATCTTGTTTCCCCTTCAACTATAGCAAATGCAAGTGGCACAACATTTCGATCGCCATCTTGTGATATTGCCATAAGCAATGTGCCCTTATATTTTCCATATAAGAATGTTCCATCAACTTGTATAATGGGCTTTAAATACGGAAACGCATCTATGCATGGCTTGAATGTCCAAAAAACACGATGAAACATTTCAATCGGTTGACCGTTTGTATTGACTTGAGAGCATTGTTTGTTTGAAAAATATATGCATGACCCAGGCATGAAGTGTTGAACTGCAGCTAACCATCTTGGGAGCAAGGAATATGAGGTCTCCCAATTTCCAAAGGCAATCGCAATTGCTAATTGTTTTGCCTTCCATGCTTTCCTATATGACACAGTATAACCAAACATTGATTGCATCCTCTCAATAATTTGTGACACTTTCACATCTGGTTTGTCAGTTACCATTGCCACAATGCAGGATGATATAACATCTGCGTCCAACTTTGGATGGTCTTGAGTTAATGACGTGCTCAAGCATACGTGAGGCCCCCCATATTTTGTAATTTGCCAATAGTTCTTGCTTTCCTTTTTGCAAGCCCTCACTCTCCAATTGCAATTATCTCCATAGTTAACACAACGATATTCTTCATACTTTTTACAAGAATAATAGACCTTAAATGTATGATGAACACGAACAGAATATAGCTTGACTGCACGTCTTAAAACTTGGACATTGCTAAATATTTTCCCAACATTTAACTCTTCATTATCACTAACATGCAGAATATCTTCTAATTCACCAAATTCAGGAGTTGTAACTGACTCAACATGAATTTGTGACAAGGAAGCATTTGTAACCTGATTTTGCTCATTCATCTCGTCATATTCATTGTCATTGTCACCATTATCATCCCCATTACCAGCATTTAAATAAGAATCATATTCTTCCTCATCCTCTGATTCATCCATGATATCTTCTACGTGAGGAAGAGAACATGATGATATAATGTTCCCACCATCTATGGGGAGTTCAAATGGTTGGAAACTTTCCATGTCATCACTAAACATAGATTCTTGTTCCATCATGTTCACCCTATTGCTACTTGATGGGGGCATATTTTCGACATAATCACCTATGGGTTGTGACTCAATATGGTGATTATCTGGTAAATCACATATGTTAGCATACAACTCTGCACATGTTAATTGAGTTGAAAATCTTCTAGTCACTTGCCACATTTGTTTTATATCTGTATCATCTTCCAAATTGCATGCTTGGTATTGTGGTGGATTTATGCATGTAGGATACCTATATACTAAATTTGTCACGTTTTGATAGGGAGGAAGTCGCAACTTTCGTCCAATAACTTGCTTCAATTTGCCCAAGGTAATGTTTTCATCAACTTTGATAATTTTCACATTATCAGATTCAAATGTTACACCAGCTGGGCCATTAAAAATTCGTCCATTTGCGAATACACACACGAACTCCTTTCTATGATCCATTCTACTTCCTAATCATTTCATTATAATCATTAGTCAAGTAAGATTAAATTATACAAATAAATTAACTCCACTATACCATTGCTTTTTTGTAAAATCAATATTTATTATTAGCTCAAATATCCTATATAACCAAACACATAATGAAATCCATATCTAAGGGGAAAAAATATATAATGAAAACTGCATAAATCCAAATTAAAAACTACTATAAAAGATGTGTTATTGCTATTATTGTCAAAATCTGTTAAAGTATAGTAAACAAACTTGATTACAAATTTAGTAATTTTCAGAACTTTTTAATCATTTTTTGTAAATTATTTATTTGCAATTAAAATAAATAAATAAGTTTAAGAAATAGATTTTTTTTCCTTTTGTTTCTTTTTGTATTTCTATAATTTTATTTACATCAAGTATTAATTAATATATTATTGCACTATATAAAATACATTAAACATATTTTTTTTAATATTAAATTCTTTCTTGTAATATTATTTTAATAATAACATATCATGAAGATTTTTTTTTCATTTTACACATATATATTATTTATACCTTATAATACCTATTTATTATTTCATTATTTTTGTAAAATTTAATTTAATAAATATTAATTTATTGCATGAAATTAAACATTTAATTGGACTAAAATCTTTTAGACCATTGGGTTGAAATGAAGGGTTCAAAAATAAAGATTTTTTCTCTAGTTTATCACATTCATTAAAAATTATTTACTTTAATTTCTTTTAAATTGTAAAAATATATTTCAAATTCCTAGTTTTTATTTATCATAGAATTTAAATGATATAAGTTTAAAAGATTTTATAAGTTATTTCAATTTATAATTCAAAACTTTTAAACACTTCTTTATTACAAAGATTTATAAACATACTTAGTTAAATATATATATTTATTATAAAAAATTAGTTAAAATTTTAATCAAATCTTTTATGTTTGCCTTAACTGATTGAAATTAATGTAACTATAAAAATATAATTTAAGACTTTATTAGAATCAGAAGTAAAATAGTAAATAAATTTTATTTTAATATAAATTTCAGTTAAAAATAATATTTTTAGAATCTTTTTAGAATACTTCTATTAATAGTGTTAACTAATTGGACTAGATGTATGCTTTTAAAATAGAGGAAAGATCTATGTAATTGATGCAAACTAGAAGAATAGTCAGAGTATTTTATTCTTGATTCAAAACACTCATATCATGACATGTCATCATCAATTAAAAAATACAACATAACAAATAGCATGGAAAAGGCAAAATGAAAAAAAGAAATTATGAGTGCTCTTCATTCATTTCAATTTTACTTACACCTTATTTTTACCTACAAAATATATGAAAGCAATGGTTCATTAGAAGTGGGTAGAAGACTTTTTTTTTTTAATTTACCAACTAAATATATACCACATATTTGATATTTAGGGCGTATATATAATTATTTTTCAATTTTATCTTACCAAATTTAAACTTCTCGAGAAGTATACTTTCATAACAAAAAATAATAATCATATACCAAGAAAAAATGAAGCTTATATCAAAATCTTAACATCTTAAAACAATATAACAGATGATAGTTTTACCGTTAAAATAAGAGGCACCTAGCTTAGAAAGAGTACAAATATTCCAGATTGTTGAACCCACCACTCACTTCCTGAAAATTAGAACAATGAAATATTAACTCATCAAGGATAGTATGGATGAAAAATCAAATTGTATATCACAACTGTAAATTTTTTAAAAGAAAAAATAGAAGAGAAACAACATACCTACAGCAGCAGTAAAAGAGCTTGTCTTGTTTGGAAACAAGAGTGAAAAATTAATAGTACAGGAGAATAATGAAAATGAAACAACAAGTGAGAAGAAGAAGAAAAGAGAACTCGGCGAAGAAGAAGAAGAAGAAGTGAAGAGGTGTGAAGGGAAGGAATTCACGTATCATATATATAAAGCCATAGTTGTAGCCTCACGGGATTCTCGCATGCTATGTCAAAATGTTTACAGAGCACACATAATTGGTTGGTCTTGCACGCATTATTGGT